TATCATTGAGGCGGCTCACAGACCATCTACTAAACGTTCCTACGTCTTTAAGTGGTCACGCTTTAAGGAATATGTGAGGCCTAAGGGATGGGAACCAGAACGGGCGCCGATCTCCTTGGTTCTAGAGTTTTTGACTTCTTTGTATGAAGCAGGGCTGTCAAATTCGTCGCTAAAGTGTTATTTGGCAGCTATTTCTTGGTTCCGGAGAAAAGCGGGGCTGTCATCTTGTTTCATGGACCCTATGGTGAAGTCATTCTTTAAAGGTCTTTCGAACATCAGGCCGTCAGTAGCGCCTGTGGTTCCCGCATGGGATTTGGAGTTGGTCTTATCTTTTTTGATGAAGCCCCCCTTTGAACCGCTAGCTACAGCGGACATAGCCTTCCTTACCTGGAAGGTCGCCTTTTTACTGGCTATTACGTCAGCTAGGAGGGCAAGTGAATTATGTGCCCTACGAGCGGATCCCCCTTATTTGAGGTTTCATAAAGACAGTGGTGTTACATACAGATGTCGCATTTTTGCCCAAAGTGGCAACCAGTTTTCATATGTCCCAGGAATTGAACTTGCCTTCATTTTTTCAAAACCCTGAGACCCCTCTGGAAAAGAACCTCCACTTGTTGGATGTTAGAAGAGCTTTAGCCTTCTATGTGCAAAGAACGGCCGACTTCAGAAAGTCTCCCAGACTTTTCGTGAAGTATCGGAAAGATACTAGAGGGCTCCCAGTGTCCTCTCAGCGTTTTTCTTCATGGATAGTTTCGGCTATCCGTAGATGCTATATGTTGGCGGGGAAGGAGCTTCCTCTCCATGTTCGGGGTCACTCTACGAGAGCTATGGCTGCCTCAGCGGCGTTTATGAAGGGCGTTCCCTTGGATATGGTGTGTAGGGCAGCTATTTGGGCTTCCCCCAGCACTTTTGTTTCGCATTATAAGTTGGATGCGGTTTCGAGAAGGCATGCTGACTTTGGTAGAGCRGTGCTGTTTTCGGCAGTGGCATGATCCCGCCGGCCGCTATGTTAAGCTTGCGAGTCTACCATATGTGCGATTCACAGTAGACTACGACAAGAAAATATGGGTTGCTTACCTGTAACCGTRGTTTCTTGAGTAGTCCACTGTGAATACGCACATCCCCACCCTTCCTCCCCTCGGATGTCATGCCACGCCTTCTGRCCARTTTGGCGGAAGAGAACTGGTGGTGGGCTCCGCCCAGGAGYCTTATATACCYGAGAGGGGGGGAGGGAGGGGRTAGGAGGGGTCAGATWGTTTCTTTTRATTTCTAGAAGGTTCCGAAACTGGGCCTGCGCAGGCGCAGGAATACCATATGTGCGTATTCACAGTGGACTACTCAAGAAACTACGGTTACAGGTAAGCAACCCAYATTTCTTCAATATGTAGCATGACTTGACTTGTAACATAGGCTTGACTTTAAAAAGAAACTGTAACAAGTTTATTGAGGTACAGAAACTTGATGGTTTTAAAGTTTCCTTTCTCTTAGAGATACAGATCTTCAAAGGTTACATTCATAACAGTTCTTAAATAACTCTTAGGCGGTCTAATTCTTCTAACAAACAGGTCTCAAACTTAGTTCCTTTAAAAAGATGTTTCTTTCTTTAACAGATTGTTTCAAGCACATGCTTATCCTTTCTTTATGATGGCTCTGTTACAATAAAGAAGCTTATTAGGGCTTCCCCTGTTTTTCTACAACCGTTACTTTTATTATAAATAAGTCACCCAACTTATCTAAACTATATTGGCTCAAAGCCAAACCTTTCCTGATTCTTAATACCAAAGAATCAGCCTTCCCTGTATTTCTTTAACCACAGAATCCTCACTGGTTCTCCACACACAACAGAACCAGCCACTTCTGCAGTTCACCGACCACAGACTGACTGCTTTAAAATGGCTGCTCTGCCAAGTGGCAGTTGGCTCTGCCCCTATCTCCATGGCAACTAAGCTCAAAGTGAGCTAAACTGGCTACCATCCTCCAATATTATGCAATACTATATACTTACTCTTACAAACACTTATATATAACAATACATAACTGTAGATAAAAATTTACACTTCATCACAATTTGTCATTTGTTCGTCGTCTTTTACAGAAGGATATTAGAAGCAACGATGAAGTTTTTTGGCCACATAATGACAAGACAGGAAAGCTTGGAGAAGATAATGATGCTGGGGGAAATGGGAGGAAAAAGGAAGAGGGGCTGATCAAGGGCAAGATAGATGGATGGTATACTTGAAGTGACTGGCTTGACCTTGAAGGAGATGGGGGTGGCAACAGCTGAAAGGAAGCTTCGGCGTAGGCTGGTACATGAGGTCATAAAGACTTGGAAGCGACTGAATGAATAAACAACAACAAAAGGCGTCTGCTTGGGATTTTTAGCTGAAGAATTGGGCTTGATGGTCCATGAAACTGGTGTTATGATTCTGTGATTCCAAACACCCTGGGAAATCTCCCCATCTATATAAATAAAAATGTAATGTTCGTTTGTGAGATTAACATAACTCAAAAACCACTGGATGAATTGACACAAAATTTGGATACTACACCCCTAACAGACCGAGTGATCATCACTCATAACAACCCCCCCTCAAAAAAAAAAACGGTAGAAAGGACTTTAAAACCCAAAAAAGCTAAATGACAAAACAGTGCAGGCATGAAAATGACAGCTCCCAGCATCCCCTAGACCAGGCCCTTTAGGGAAGGAGGATGCTCCAAATGCACTGCTTCCAAGCTGCAAGCTTGCTCTTCCTTGGATTTCTTTGAGAGCCTCCCAATCCGTACGTATTTCCTGTTTCCTATTCCTGGACTGCAACTCCCAGTGAATCCTCCAGATAGATAAGATATATAGATTAGATACAGATAGATAGTAAGTAAATAGATCAATCAGGAGAACTGCCGGGACACTATGGAGACTCAGCGAATCCTCCAGATAAATAAGATATATAGATTAGATACAGATAGATAGTAAGTAAATAGATCAATCAGAAGAACTGCTGGGAGTTGCAGTGTGAGAATAGGTAGAGAAGGAAGAAAGGGGAGAAAGAGTTAAAGAAGGGAGGGAGGAAGGAGAGAAGGAAAGAAAAAAAGGGAAGAGGGGAAGGAAAGCGGGAGGGAAGGTTGACCACAGCAACGCATGGTGGGTACAGCTAGTAAATACATATAAACACACAGATTTCTGCAAATATAGATAAGTGATAGACCTCTGCCCTATCTGTCTGATTCACAATTGGCAAACTCCAAGAAAGCCCATCATACTTTCCACAAAAATGATTATAAGCCAGTGATAGTATTTGGCAATTAAATTTTTTAATCCAGTTTTCAATGTACATGAATAATTTGAAGGAAAAAATAGAAAAATTCTTACACCTATCACAGTGCCTGTGATGGCATCTGGTCCCACCCTCCCTTTTGCAACCCCCCCTCCCCCCCGCCCAAACAAGAAAAATAAGTTTGCAGGAATACATTGATTTTCATTCAGAGACACTATTGTGATAATCATCTTTGAAAGAAGAATGTATTGGCCAAGATTCCATGCTGGGACACTATGGAGACCCTGGGACAATATCAGGAATGTCCACTCTGGGACACTATAAGGAAAAAATAAAATAGGGACACTATGGGGAAGGCTGCGGGGCAAGGAGTAGACTATAGGGCTCTTATCCTTATTGGGAAAAATTAGGATTTATAAAAGTACACCCTTTTGCTAAAACCAGGACTGAAAGAAAATCAATGATGAGGCAACAAGGAATCTGCCTCTCATATAAGAAACAAACCTCTATGTAAATGTTTCAATGAACTGTATAATGAACTTCTCCTGAGATAGGAGAATTTATAAATGACTGTTTCGTTCACTGATGCATCTATGGACCATAATACATATTGTTGCTGTTGTTGTCTCTCACATATGCCGCCTTCAAGATGCTTTCACTCAGTTTCCACATGATAAAAAGATTTTAAGTGGCGAAATAATCCACTTAAAATCCGGTTTCTGCCTCCTGCAGAATTCTGGCGTTTGTAGTTTAGTGAGGCTGTTAAAGGCTCCTCCCTAAACTACAAACTCCAGAATTCTGCAGGAGGCAGACACTGGATTTTAAGTGGATTGTTTCTCTAGTGTAATGAGGCCCTACCGTAGGCCCAGATCAGATCTCCTCCCTGTTACAGAGGCTATAGCTGAAAATGGTAAACACAAGAGCTGTGAGCGGGACTGACACAGCCTCATATTAGATGCCCACGTGGTACAAACCACAGTCTTTCTGAGGAACAAGCTCACAGTTTGGTTTAAAAAAGAAACAACAAAAAAGCAAGTTAAATTTGCAGCCAAATGCTTTAAACACACCCAGCGTATCCCTCTGGGGCCTCGGCTGTTCTGTTTAAGAGCTATTTCCTATTTTAGAGACTTCGGCAAAGCATAGGAAGGAGCAAATATACTTGGGGTTTTTTGGCCAGCACATCTGTAGGGGAACAAAGTAAGCTTCAGTCTATTGTTGAAAGCGTCCATGCTAGCATCACTGGGTTGCCGAGTTTTTTGTGGGCCTGTAAAGCCATGTTCAGAGAGCATTCTGTTCTAACATTTTGCACACATCTGTGGCCGGCATCTTCAGAGGTCTGTTGGAAGTGAAGCAAGTGGAGTGCATAGATATCTGTTGAATATCCAGGACGGGAGAAAGAACTCTTGTCTCTTTAAAGCAGGCATGGGCAAACTTTGGCCCTCCAGATGTTTTGGACTTCAACTCCCACAATTCCTAACAGCCTACCAACTGTTAGGAATTGTGAGAGTTGAAGTCCAAAACACCTGGAGGGCTGAAGTTTGCCCATGCCTGCTTTAAAGCCAGTGTGAATGTTGCAATTAGCAAACCTAAATGGCATTAAGTAGCCATGAAGCTGCAAAGTCAATCAGTGAGGGTATCTCCATAGAGGTTGCCTCCTTACCTCTTAGGCAGATACCCTCACTGATTGACTTTGCAAACTTCATGGCTACTCAAATGCTAATTCAAGCTTGCTAATTGCAACATTCACAATGGCTTTAAACAGACATGGGTTCTTTCTCCCAATGTGGAAATTCCACAGGTATTCATTTATTATTATGATTATGATTATTATTTCTATTTTAGAGACATGATGATGATGATGATTATTATTATTATATACACTCCACTTGCCTCGCTTCCATCAGACCTCTGAAGATGACGGTCACAGATGCAGGCGAAACATGCCACACAGTCTGAAAAACTCACAGCAACCTAAGCTTCAGCTGACTGCTTCTTGTTGAACAGTGACCTTTTTTAGCATTAGGGAGCTAGGTTGTCTTGCCCACAGGCTAACCTAAAGTGTCTGTTTGCTAGATGAGAGACCCCACCGGACAACTTCCTTAATAGGATAGTATTACAAGCGAGGAGCAGATCATAAACATATTCTCTCTTTCCCAGAGGAAGCGGCGTCAAGTCAAGGAACTTGAGTACAGTATGGCAATAGACTGAAGAGTCTTGTATCTATACAAGCCAAACATGTTTGGTATCGATGACACAACCCATCTATCCTAATCAGCCAGGAAGGCAATTCTCCAGGCGAAGACAGATCTTCCAGGATCCACCCGACAGACCGAGATCCCTGCAGGCCGAAGGTGACAACAAGCCACACTTGTCATCCCAACTGTGAGGAAGGCTGCTTCTGCTGAAGTCACTGGTGTTACGAGGCAGTGAAGCAGGGAGGAGATCACACCGTAAGGCAACCTTGCCCATGAGCACAGCTTCTGTCCTTAGCATGTCATGCCTCAGACTGTGACGGAATTCCTACTCAAATTGAGAGGAGTGTGTATACTTCTTTGTCGCACTTGACCCATAATGCACATTTGCAATATCCGACTGGCTGCTTTTCTTTAGCGTAAGTGCTGCCGGTTTGCTGAGAATCTGGAGAGTGACAGAAGAGAAGACCTCCATATTACTTTCATGCAACAAATCAGTAACTGCAAGTGCTCCCTGAATCTCTGGAAAAGACTTATGTCACGATCTCTTTATTACTTCTTGGTTACCCATGCACTTCAGATACAGAAATACAGATGAGCGAGCAAAAGCAGCCACAACATCCATTTTCTTTACTCTCCATTTGGATAATGTGTAGGATGGGCCCACAGGAGGAGCTGATTCCTCATCTATGGTTTTACTTGATGGCTCAACTGTTGCATTTTATTATAAGAGACTTCCAAGTCATCCTGCCATCAATAGCCTTGCATTAGGGAGAAAGAACTCTTGTCTGTTTAAAACAGGCATGGACAAACTTTGGCCCCCCACGTGTTTTGGACTTCAACTCCCACAAAATGTCTTGCAGTGGTTTCCTGCATTGAGTCAACCCATCTGTAATGCAGTCCTCCTCTTTGGAATCATGTGCCACTCCTTCAATAAACTGACCCAAAAATGTGTCAAGACAAATAAGAGAATTAAGTGCCCCTCTTTACTCACAAGCTGCTTCTACATAGAAATATAGGCAGCCCCCAAGTTACAGAAAGATAGGTTTTGTAGGTTTGTTCTAAAATTTGTTTGTTAAGTCAGAACAGGAATATTTTTGAGTGTAACTCCAGCCACACATATACATATACATATACATATATAAATAGGGGCCCCTGGTGGCGCAGTGGGTTAAACTACTGTGCTGCTGAACCTGCTGACAGAAAGGTAGGCGCAGTTCCAATCTGAGGAGCAGGGTGAGCTCCCGCTGTTATCCCCATCTTCTGCCAACCTAGCAGTTCGAAAACATGCAAATGTGAGTAGATCAATAGGTACCGCTTCAGTGGGAAGATAACAGCACTCTATGCAGTCATGCTGGTCGCATGACCTTGGAGGTGTCTATGCACAACGGCGGCTCAAAAATGGAAATGAGCACCACCCCCCAGAGTAGGACACAACTAGACTTAATGTCAGGGGAAACCTTTATCTTTATGTGTGTGTGTGTGTGTATGTAAAGATTTCGGCAGCATAGGGAAGGATTAACACCTCTGTAAGTGTTTGTTTCGCTGTCTGTGCCCTTGTTCAGAAGATGTCATCTCACTTTCTATCCCTGTGATAATTGCATTTTGGAAAGTTTGGCTTGTTGTGGAAACAAGGATTGTGATAAAGCTTCAGTACAAACACATTTTCCCCATGATAACTCTTTCAGGGGTGAATTTATTTTCCGAGGGGTAGATTTCTCTCACTTCCTGTTGTCTCTCCCCCAGTCTTAACTATGAGTAGTTTGTAACTCGGATGTTTGTAACTTGGGGACTGCCAATATGTCAGTAGAGGAGTTTTTATTCATCTACTGGAGGTGCAGGATGATGCCTCTCTAGAAAGGAAATTGTCTCATGACTTTATATATATGCATATGCATATGCATACATGGGCACAAATATACATAGAGTTTGGCATTCCAACTAATGGTGTTCCCTCTAACAAGGGCATAATAAGAACGTAATATTATATATTAAAAACAAGAAGATAACTGATTTAGTCATTTTAAGTATACTAAATAACAATTACTCAACAGTGCTAAAATTCTGAGGAGGGGCATTTTATATATTAGATGTGCGTGTGTGTATCTGCATGTATGTAACATGCTAGTTATATACTACTATGCTAAACTGAAAGACAGCAAGCAAATAAGAGGCCTGCAGCATCAATGGATTGATTCCATCAAGTTAGTTATGGTCCAGAGTTTGTAAGATTTTAGCAAGGTTGTTTAAAAAGTGGTCACTTGGAACCTGTATCAAAGTATGTATCAAAGTCTACTTGACAGTAAATAACAAAAAAAACCCCACATTGCATTAAGAAGCAATAAACTGCTTTGTAAAAATAATATGGCAAGCTCTTCACAAACTTCATAGTTTACACAAACCCTGTGTAAACACTATTAAAAGCAAGGTATATCCGTTATAAGACATACCCTTTGGCCCATCCTCTTCTAGGATTGCCTGGGAGCTTTCCCTTCCACTCTTAACCCATCCTGTAAGTTCTGTAACCCTCACAAAATACCCCAGCAACCTCTCCATCCCTTCAACTCACATCCTTCATAACTTTTTCTTTGAGCTCTTCATGTGTTAAGGGTTTCTGGTCTTCTTCTGCTATGGGATCATGCTTATGCCTGTGAAGGGAAAAGAAGATAGTGAAGACCTGAAAGAAAAAACTCCCTTGCAATGACTCCTTCCAAAACAGATTGTTTCTGTATCCTGTGGTTTAAAACACTCAGAGGTCCTATGAAATTCCAAAGAACTTCAGAATGTCAACTGTTTTCCTTTGAGAAGGTCTGGCTTTTAGGCTTTCTCTTTATTTAACTCTATAGATCAGGCATGGGTAATACAATGTAAAGGCCATTTTAGCATATTTTAATTATGTTTTTACCACACTGTTACTATGTAGCTGTTTTTTAAACTTTTGTATTGCACCATTTAAAGTTGTCTTGTGTGGAGTATGAGCCACCTTGAGTCCCCACAGGGAGAAAGGCATGGTATAAATGAAGATAACAACAACAATAACAACAGCAATATATTTATTTACTCTATTTCTATCCCTCTCTTCTCACCCTTGCAGGGGACTCAGAGTAGCATAGAAAATGGCAATAGTCAATAAAAACAATAACAACAGCAGCAGCAGCAGCAGCAGCAGTAATAATAATTGCAGAAATACCAGAGGCCATCCAGACCAGCCCAGTAGTTTAAACTGCAGGAGAAACACAATCAAAGCACCCCAACAGATGGTCATCCAACCTTTGTAATTAATAATAATGATAATAATAATAGGAGAAATCCCAGAGGCCATCCTGTACAACCTTTCTTCTAGCATGCAGGAGAAACACAATCAAAGCATTCCCAACAGGTGGCCACCCAGCCTTTGTAATAATAATAATAATAATAATAATAATAATAATAATAATAATAGCAGAAACCTCAGAGGCCATCCTGTCCAACCCCCTTCTAGCATGCAGGAAAAACACAATCAAAACACCTCCAACAGGTGACCATAATAATAATAATAATAATAATAATAATAATAATAATAATAATAATAATAGCAGAAACCCCAGAGGCCATCCTGTCCAACCCCCTTTTAGCATGCAGGAAAAACAATCAAAGCACCCCTGAGCAGTGGGAGAGAAATAGGGTTTTGGCAAGCAAGGCAAGGGGGGAAGGATCTGGGTAGCAAGGAAGGTGAAGAAAAAAAGCTTTTGGTGGCAACAGGGTGGAGTGGGGAAAGAGGAGGGAAAGCTTTGTAGGAAAGGAGGAGGGGAGGGAAGACGACACCACATTATGAGAGAAATAATAGAAAAAGACAGAGAAGGAGAGAAGGCTGTACTAAGCCCAAACAGTGGACACAGAGGGACAATCCTAATGCAAAGGTAGGCAGGGTCAGCGCACATGTGTGCAATGGTCAGGCTAGAATAGAGCCGGGGAGGAGGAGAGAAGCCTGGAGACCCTTAGTTTGTTTTGCAGAGCCCTTAGGGCTCCGCAGAGCACAAGTTTGCTGTTCTGGATAATAAAATTGTCCACAAGGCAAGTGAATTCATTGGACTTTTCCAATAAATATCAGAGTAGTTGAAATCCCCCATTACTATTATATCTCTTCTTTCTGCATGTTTGGTCCTTTGGTCAAGGAAGGATTCATCCAGTTCTTCAGTCTGCCTTAAAGGTCTGTAGTAGACCCCCACGACTACATCTTTTCCATGTATTGTCGAAGGCTACATCTTTTCCAGTCCTTGTTCCCTTAATTCTTATCCAGATTCTCTCAACCTGGTTTCCAGAACTGAAGTCTTGCATCTCCTCACAGATGTAAATATTTTCGACATATAATGCTATCCCACCCCCTCTCCTGTTTGGTATGTTTCTCTGAAATAGGTTATACCCCTCCATTGTTACATTCCAATTAGAAGACTCGTCCCACCAGGTTTCAGTTATACCTGTTTACATCATAACTGTTTTGTTGTGCTAAGAGTTCCAGCTCATCTTGTTTATTTCCCATGCTCTGGGCATTAGTGTAAAGACATCGAAGTGAGTGGGACATTACCATTCGCTGTTTATTTGAGATTATTGTCCTCTTGCTGCTTGGTATTTGTTGTCTTTGTCCAACCCTCTTTTTAGCCTTTTGGCTGTTCACTCCGAGCCTTGATAAACTACTGTTCCCAAGGATAATGTCACCTTCTCACTGGAAGCACTGAATCTGTGGATTTCACTCCATCGAGAGGCTCAGTATTCCTTGTTCATTTAGGCAATGGATTTTAAAAGGTTTTGTTTCAGAGGGCTTTTGGTTTCTTCTGAAAAAATTGGTTGGTCCAAGGCCTCAACTGCTCCTTCAACTAGAGCAAAAGTCAGTAAATGCCCTTTGGCCACATGCTGTCATCACCATATTTGCCATGGCAATGAGAACAAAAAAAGACTGCTATTTCTGTTTAAAAGAAGCTGTGTGGGTGTATGAGCTTTGTTTTGAAGGTGAATCACCCTCCCAGACGTCTTCCAAAAAACCACAATTCAGCACAAACTGTGCAGATGCCTTGGTTAAAAGGAAATTTATGGAGTTTTTAACCACTGCCATGCTACCAACCTTTGAGGATGCCTGCCACAGATGCAGGAGAAACATCAGGAGAGAATGCTTCTGGAACATGGCCATACAGTCCGAAAAACTTACTGCAACCCTCCACTAACTGTTTGTAAATATAATTGTTAACCTATATTGTATGTACATTTTGGTTTGCCAGTTTGACTGTGCCTCTATGGTGTGGGAAGGGCTTTAGACATAGTACTCCATTTTGTATACAGTATGCTTTTAGACCACAATGAAGGTGGATACAGTTTGTCTGCTTTCAGACATTACTGAGTACAGTTACACATTTTGGACTATATCTATATGCTTAAAGGCATTCGACTATAGACGAATATGCTGAATATATAAAATAAATTTGTTAGTAAACCTGAGATGTTATTTTTTTAAAGAAGACTACTTTGTTTTGTCTCTTGAGTGCATATTTTAACTAAGGTTTTTAAAGCAGTATATATCTTTTTGGGTAATTGCAATTGCAAATTCTACTTCAAAGAAACAACCATCCTCTGCTAACCAAATATATTTTTGTAGTGCAATATCTTTCTCCTTAGCAGTTTAAAGACATGGTTCTTCACTTTAACAGCTGAGTTACCTGTGTGCTATTACATGAATGCTTGTGAATATCACTTGTTCAAAGGGTTGACTTCTAACAAAGTCATGCTTGTCTTGACTAGTGGTTTTCAAAAAGTGGTCTCCACATATTCATGGAGATTCACATTTGCCAACCGGATGTGACTTCCTTTTTACCTTTTCAATAAGGTTATGGTGCATTTATTTCCAACAGGTTATGGAATTTCCAATAGCCCCTACCTCCATATATTGTCTACGAATCCCTCTCCTTAAATTCTTGCTCTATTAATCAAAACAGTGGGGCTCCCTATTTCCCCAGCCCCACTAAGTCTCAATATGCTAAAGATCCCTTCATCCTTGAACCCCAGACATGACCACAAACCCCCTGCTCCCTTGTTTGTTTTGCCCTATATGAGAAAATCACAGTCTCCTATAGCTCTTAGCCTTGCCTCGCCCCTTATTTAAAATAATTTTTGTCCTGCCTTTCTGCTTGAAAACAGGCCTCTGCGGCAGTTTCACTAATTAAAAACAACACATCCCAATAAAACAGTTTAAAAATATATACAGCATAAATAAGGGCATTATTCAACCCACAATAAACAACATAGAATGCAGGAAATTGGTTAAATCCTGCCTCTCCCACCAAAAAGCCTGAGTAGATGTTTGTAATCGGCACCCAAATCTAAACCAGTTTTTGAACTACAACCCCCTAATTCTTTATCAAATGCAGTCAGTGGCTATGCCAGCTATGGGCTTCTGTAAACAGCATCCCAAATAGTAGTTTTGTAATGTGTTGTGGAAGGCTTTCATGGCTGGAACCATTGGGTTGCTGTGAGTTTTCCGGGCTATATGGCCATGTTCCAGAAGCATTCTCTCCTGGCTTTTCGCCCAAATCTACGGCAGGCATCCTCAGAGGTTGTGAAGTCTGTTGGAAACTAAGACAAGTAAGGTTTATATATCTGTGAAATGACCAGGGTGGGAGAAAGAACTCTTGTCTGTTTGAAGAAAGTATGAATATTCCAATTGGCCACTTTGATTATTTATTTATTTATTTATTTATTTATTTATTTATATGAGACATTTATATGCCACCCTCCTCACCCCAAAGGGGATTCAGAGCGGATTAGCATTGAATAAACTTGCAGCTTCAAAGCTTGGCTTCTTCCTGCCTGGGGGAATCCTTTGTTGGGAGGTGTTAGCTGGCCCAAGAGTTCTTTCTTCCATCCTGGACATTTCACAGATATATAAACCTCACTTGCTTGGTTTCCAACAGACTTCACAACCTCAGAGGACACCTGCCATAGATGTGGGTAAAATGTCAGGAGAAAATGCTTCTGGAACATTGCCATCCAGCCCGGAAAACTCACAGCAACCCAGTAGTTTTTCAAGTTCTGATCTCTTTAAATTAAATTTTTAAAGTTTAATTACAAAGGAAGGAAAGAAGAAAAGTATACATGGACATGGACTAGGCATATTCATTAATTTAAGCTGTTCAGATTTCCAAGAACACTTTTTCTTGAAGCTGACACCTATACATTGCACATTCAATCATAACTGAAGCAGTAAAGTCTTCTGACCATTGAAAGATAGTGAACCACTATCTTTCTGAAAGGAACAGGTTTTAGCAACAGTAAAAGCACCTGGACTCCAACTACTGGCTGGTAAATTTCCTGTTGCAAAGAGATATGTGCATTGGCAGTAGTCAAAGGTTCTTCTAATACAAAATTAACATATTTTTATCCATCCAACTAGAAGATGATTTATTTCTAAAGCGACATAATGGTGTCTGATATACCTGCAACATTAATTTTTCCTGAACCAAATGTAGCTTTAGGTGAAAAGATATTTCAGAAGCCAACACTAAGGCCGTTTTCCCTTAGTTGATTTACACAGGACTATCTAACTATTTCATTCCACTCAGTTCTGCAAAGCTCCAGCATTAATAATGTAGGCACTGACAAATGGGTTCCTACAGAAACTAGAGATTTTTTTCCCCCAAAATGATAGAGCTAGAGAGGGCCTCAATGGCCACTTAGTCCAGCTCTCTGTTTGATGTGGGAAACCCAGTGCAAAAGCTCCCCTCAAATATCTGTTTCCAGTGTAAAAACTATTCCAGGCAACAAGACATTCCTTTTGCTGTTCAACCAATATCTTTCAATTCATGAGATCACCAAACATATATTATATTGAAGATGGAGAAAATGAAACAGGCTTTTTTTCACAGAGCAGAGAATGAGATTCCACCTGAATATCAGGAAGAACTTCCTGATTTTTTGTGTGTCAGAATCAACTTGAGAAACTGCAAGTTGCTTCTGGTGTGAGATAATTCGATAAAGAATGAGGGACAGCAGTATGTGTGAAAAAGATCTTGGTGTTGTCCTTGACAACAAGTTAAACATGAACCAGCAATGTGATGTGGCAGCTTAAAAAGCCATTGGGATTTTGGCCTGCATCAATAGGAGTCTAGTGTCTAGATCCAGGGAAGTCATGCTACTCCTCTATTCTGCCTTGGTCAGACCACATTCTGGGCACCACAACTGAAGAGAGACGTTGACAAGCTGTCATGTGCCCAGAGGAGGGTGTCTAATATGATCAAGGGTCTGGAGAACAAGCCCTATGAGGAGTGACTTAAAGAGCTAGGCATGCTTAGCCTTCAGAAGAGAAGACTGAGAGGATACATGATGGCCATGTATAAATATATGAGGGAAAATCATAGGGAGGAGGGAGCAAGCTTGTTTTCTGCCGCCCTGGAGACTAAGACATGGAACAATGGCTTCAAACTACAGAAAAGATTCCATCTGAACATGAGGAAAAACTTCCTGACTGTGAGAGCTGTTCAGCTGTGGAACTCTCTGCTCCAGGGTGTGGTGGAGGCTCCTTCTTTGGAGGCTTTTAAGCAGAGGGTGCATGCCCATCTGTCAAGGGTGCTTTGAATGTGATTTTCCTGCTTCTTGGCAGTGGGTTGGACTGGATGGACCACGAGGTCTCTTCCAACTCTATGATTCTATGAATGGGTTGCACTGGATGGCCCCTTGTTGTCCCTTCAGCTCTCTGATTCTATGAATGCCACCACAGGAAAAGCTTATCTCCATGCTTATCTCCTGCTTCAATGCTGAATGTGGCACACGCACAGAAAAACAAAAAATGGGAACCCTTTATATACAGGAATGTTCCTCTGGGAGCGACTGGCTCTTCTTACCCAGTAGAAGGTGGTCGCGGGTGGATCGCTTGAGGCTGCTTCTGAAAGTTCTGCCCCAGAATCAGTTGAACTGTTTCCACAGTATCAAAAGGCTTGTCTTGTTCCTGAGAAAGGACAGAATAGGCATTCAGGAAGAGAGGGGCTGGTTTTCATCCTCCCCTAGGATTTAAATAAGAGCCCAAGCCTATGGAAGTGAAAAACTCTGACCCATCTATTAAGTCAAATCAATCAATTTTAGTAAGTCCAGACTAAGTAACATATGTTGGTGCAATTGCAATTAGACTGTTGGGGTTTTTGTTTTGTTTTGTTTTGTTTTGATGTGGACAACACATGTTTTGGTGCCTCAAATGTTAGCCCTGTTTCTGGATATATTTGACCTGATGATTCCAAAAATGGCACCAGTTTCCCCCCATTAGCTCTAGTTTCTGATATACAGAACATTTGGCATCTACCTGTTGACAACTGATCGCCCATAGAAAACCATGATACTCATATCTAAGATATTAGAGCTGACATGGTCTATATTCTGAGCCAACACCCCAAAGAACCCAGGAACAGCACTAAAAACCAAGACACCAAGGTATTTTTCTTTTTTGTTGGGCTGTGTAATTCTTGTAGTTGCTGAAATGCATTTGTACGAAGTGTTATGGAGCCAGGAATGAGACACCATGACCCAAAGTGTTAGTATGCTTTGATGCCGGAGTGGATTTGAGAACATAATTCTAAACAATTTTTTTTTTCATACAGTAGAGGAATCGGAGCACAAATAAGGAGTCACACTAGAATGGAAAAATCTACGTAGACGTTTTGCAGGAGAGTACGCAGGGAGCCTTTGTACAACAGTCCAAAGCAGCATATGTTTTCAGGCCCACTAAAATCTTTCCACATGCTAATAACAAAAGCTTGACTGGGCTGCATATTCTGGGGAAATCAAGCCAAAGCCCACCTCTTCCTGTTCTAGAGGGTTTTAAGGGGGTTAAAAAAAACCACATTCAAAATTTCTCGTTAACAAACAAATTGGAAACATCTAACCCTTCTTCCACTACCAAAGTTTTCTCCTGCCCACTGCATACCTCAGCAAGCATTAAGGAATACATTGCCAACAGCTCACTGGTCTTCTTTTCAATTGAGCTAAGGTAGATTGGAACATTTTCATTGCGGACGGCTGTTGTCCCCCCTAGAATGTGCTCCAAGGCTGCCTGATCACACTGCAGCTTCCAAAAGAGAGACTCAATTTCTTGGAGAAGAGGAGAAAAGAGCAAAATTAATACATTATGGCCCATCAAGCTGTGTGTGCCTTATCTAAGCACTGATTTTTTGCTCTCTTCCTATAAAAAGTTGGCTCTTTGGGGCTCTTTCTCTACTCACTCCAGTTGATAGGAACCCTTGGCAAACATAGGTTTAGTGAATGTCATCTTTGAAGGATATTTTCAGCTGGCCCCAGCAACACCTGGCCCTTTTGGTGGCAGGGATTTTGCAAGACTTGGCCAGAGGCAGGTGAAATTCAATGGGTTTGTTTTCCCAGCCCCCTTCCACACAGCTGAATAAGGTCCCACATTATCTGCTTTGAACTGGAATATATAACAGTGTGGACTCTGATATCCCAGTTCAATGCAGGTATTGTGGGATTTTCTGACTTGAAATTCTGGGTAATACGGCTGTGTGGAAGGACCCCCAGAGAACTGAAAGTCTGAAAGAAAAATATACTGAAGGTCAAAAAACCTCGGAAACCACTCAGCCCTTTTAAATGCTACCATGTGTCTCCAGCCTTAATGACATGTTATACCGAATTCCTTTCTTTTGTCTGACGCTGTAGCCAATCCGTTCCACTGAACTAACATGAGTTCTCCCAATTTGAGAAAAGAAAAATGTTTTCTCTCCCTGGGCCTTTCCACATATCCATATAACCCAAAATATCAAGCCAGACAGTCCACAATATCTGCTTTGAACTGGGTTATCTGAATCCACGCTACCATATAATCCAGTTCAATGTGGATTTTATACAGGTGTGTGGAAGGGGCCTCCCCCCCCCCCCCCCCCCCCCCCCCCCGGTCTCTCTCTGCCACTCAGTCCTTGAAGGCTGGGCAAATCTCTGGTCTTGCAGATCTGTTCGACTAGAATTCTCATCATCTGGACTACAGGTCAGGCCTTGTTGTTAAGGAATGATGAAGCTAGAAGTCAACAATGACCTGTCCAATCCTGCAATCCCACTCTTCAGGCAATTGAAAACTCTCTCTACAGCTGTTTTCATAAAGGTCTCTACAACCAGACCTGCCTTTTCAACAAGTAATTTGCTTGCTATCAGGGAGAAGAATCATGAAGCTTATCAGCTCTTATTAGACTTCGGTTCCAGAAGCATTAGCCAGCAAGGAAAGGAATTTTAGATATAACTATCTAAAAACATCTATATTGTTCCCAGCTGTATTAAGTTCATGAGACCTTTCCAATCCAGATAATAATAATAATAATAATAATAATAATAATAATAATAAGTAATAACTTTATTTTTGTACCCCACCTCCATCTCCCCAAAGGGACTCGGAGCGGCTTACATAGTTAAAATAACATATTAAAATACATAAACAGCAGCATAAAACAACAACATTATGACAGCATAGAAGAGCAAACATCAAACCAACAACCAATTAAACCGAAAGTAAAGGTAAAGGTTGTCTCCTGACATTAAGTCCAATCATGTCTGACTCTGGGGTGTGGTGCTCATCTCCATTTCTAAGCTGAAGAGCTGGCGTTGTCCATAGACACCGCCAAGGTCATGTGGCCGGCATGACTGCATGGAACGCCGTTAAATTAAACCGAAATAATTGTCAATTTCAGATCGTGGGCCTTCTTTCCCCCACTTCCTTTAGAATCCTGATGGCACTTCTAACCACTTCTAACCACTGCTGCAGAGCAGCCTCAATTTTTGTGTCTCTATGAAGTTGTGCAGAATGCAAGGTTAGAGAACAACACACTTCTTGATGTTTTTGGATTACAACTCCCCTAGCTAGAAGAGCAGATGATATATGATGTCGGAAAATGCTGAAAAGGGAAAGGTTTCCAGCACTTGAGTGATAATGTTCTAGCCTTCCGTTGTCATGACCAAGTCCCACATTTCTGTAGGTTTGTTCTGCGATTACAGCATCGAACATGCCATGTAGCACTGTTTGAAGCTTTCATTTAAAAACAAGAGCAAATCCTTAGACCTCAGAGAAAACTTCCCAACATGTTTGTGGGTCTGCCATTCCACAAACATCACATGTCTGTGATGCCCTCCACCCGCCTAAGCAATACTTGTTTACCATTTTTGATCTGCTCCCAAATCTTGCTGACACCTTTAAGCTTCGACTCAAGGTGGTTTGCCTCTTTGGCAGCTTCCTCCTGTTGGGCTTCAACCTGTTTAAGCTGAGAACGCCGTTCCGCCTCTTTCTGGCTCTCCCGCTTTTTGACCTCTTCTATCTTATGGCGAAGCTAGATGAGCAACGGAGAAAAATGAGAAACGAGGAGCAACAGTCTTCTTGACGGAATGTCAGAAGGAATGAAGTGGTCTTACATTTACGGCTAGCTGGAGTAGTTGAGGTGTAAAATCACCTTGTGTAAAAAAATCCATGACACTTTAGGAAAAACATGATGCCATGAATTGTATGTTGGAGATGCAAATCCCACAAGCCTTTTTTGTAGCCTTTGAGCCCCTTCTGGATCCCCCTAAAGATCATCCATTGAGGGGAGTAAATGTTTTGGCATAACTATCTATTTGCCTGCCTACTCTTATAAGGAGAGACATTTTATTTAGTTTATAAAAGCATTTCTCAACCTGGGGGTCGGGACTCCTGGGGGGATCACGAGGGGGTATCAGAGGGATAGCCAAAGACCATAAGAAAACACAGTATTTTCTGTTGGTTGTGGGGGTTCTGTGTGGGAAATTTAGCCCAATTCCATCATTGGTGGAGGGGAGAATTTATTTATTTTATTTATTTTGAGCATTTCTTGTCCTTCTCAACTCCCGAGGAGGGACTCAGGGCAGCTTACAACTGGCAATCATTAGATGCCAACAAACAAATAATCGTAATACAAACAATTAACATTAAATAAGAAAGCAAGATTATAAACTACATTAAAATATTGGCCATTAAAATATTAAAACACAACCAAATCTAAGTCCGCAAATCCAAATCATAGTCCAGAGTTCCAATCCACGATCTATTCATTGACAATTCTCATCAATCATTGCAGTTGCTGATTGGCCAGCTGCCCAGATGCTTAGTCCCAAAGCCAAGATTTAAGCTTTTTTTCTAAAGGAGAGGAGAGAGGGAGTCACCCTGATTTCATTGGGGAGTGTGTTCCATAGAATGTTCTTTGATTGTAGGTGAACTATAAATCACAGCAACTAAAACTCCAAAGTGATAAAATCAACCCAACCCCACCAGTAATCAAATTTGGGTGTATTGGGTATTTGTGCCAAATTCAATCCAATGAATGAAAATACATCCTGCATATGGGACATTTACATTACAATTCATAAGAGTATCAAAATTACCGTTATGAAGTAGCAACGAAAATTATTTTATGGTTGGGGGTCACCACAACCTGAGGAACTGTATTATGGGGTCACGGCATTAGGAAGGTTGAGAACCAGTGGAGGAATTGGGGGTACTGTATTCCCACACAGTACCCAATATAACCAACAGAAAAAAAACTGTGTTTTCTGATAGTCTTTGGCGACTCCTTTGACATTGCTTTGTGACCCCCCTAGGGTCTTGACTCCCAGGTTGAGAAACACTGGCTTAAATAAAAAAAGTCCCCTTCTATGCCAGCATAAAGAGATCACAGAGGGGGCACCAAGAAAGCTCTCTGCTGTGTCCTCACTCACCAAGCCTCTGATAGTGGTGGCACCAAGAGAAAACCTCTCCCTAAGATCTTAAGGTTTAGGCAGACACATTTAGAGTGCAGCACCACCTTCAATTGCTTTCAAGAAATAACTCAGCCACTCAATTTTTTAAACAAAGCTTCTGGCCACTTCTGTTTTTTTGTTTGTTTGTTTGTTTTGGGGTTTTTTGTTGTTTTTGTTTTTGAGAAAAGCCTGTCATAAAAGTACTTATATATCCTTTGCATGAACAGCAAGTGCGTTAACAACAGTCCCTGGTTCAATCTGATACTTTACTTCTTCATAGAATAAGGAACCTGATGCCAGGAAACCAACTTCACCCTAGTATTATTACTTTGCAAACTCTGAAGGGTACACCCAAGGAATGAACTGGGTAGTGGTTTTAAAGAATGGAGAGTTGATTAGGAAGAACTGGAAGGGAAATGAGGCCCCTACTCCATGATATTGGGAGCCCTTCTGAGCCCTCCTCCAGATTTCGCCAGGCCCTCCACATGCTTTGCAATTAAACAAAGCCTCACCTACAATGGAAATGGCAAGGAACTGTGGAATGTTGTCAAAACTATCTGGAAAGGCAAACTTTCCTTTTTCCAGTTTATGGATTACTAACACCATAACCTTAAAGGATCTGAAATATGGTGTGTGGGTTTTTTAAAAACAGACATTATGATTTGTCGTATAATAATAATAATAATAATAATAATAATAATAATAATAATTTAATTTTTATACCCCACCTCCATCTCCCCGAAGGGACTCGAGGCGGCTTATATCGGGCCAAGCCCAACAGAACAGTTAAAACATAACACATTAAAATGCATATCAACAAAATAATAACAAAAGCAGTATAACAAATTAAAAACAACAACATTAAACAGTGTATAAAACGAACATCAAAACCAACAACCAATAGCAAAGTTCAATGTCTTGTCATGGGTGGGCAATCTGGTGCCACAGCATTAAAGGACAGAGTAAAGTGCAAATCTCATATAGCAGCAAAGATTAAGGATTTGGATATAACATTTTACTCAATAACACAATCTCGCACCCATCCATCCATTCTATGAAGGATTACATGCATTCAGCAATCAAATGCTTGATAAAGGTTTGGATTAAAATTGGTGTTCCCCATTTTATAGTGTCAGATTCTCTACCCAATTGACAGATTCTCTACCCAATTCATAGGCACAGTTCAACTGATTTGCATTTGTTCTAATGCTCAGATCTGCTCCCCCAGTATTACTTGTTCCTTAACAATAAGACTTAGGGCCCTTCTACACAGCCCTGTCTCCCAAAATATCAAGGCATAAAATCCCACAATATCTGGACTCAGATAACTGGGTTATCTGAGTCCATATTGCCATATATTTCAGTTCAAAGCAGATAATGTGGGATTTTATTCAGCTGTGTGGAAGGAGTCTTATTCTCCTTGTTTAAGAACTTGGGTACTGCGTATTGTTTTGTGCAGAAACCACAGAGGATAGTTGCAGAATTTAACAAACTGCCCTTCTCTCCTTTTGGAAGAAAAGAAGAAAGTAAACGATAGACCTCACATCATTTTTATTCACCTTTTTGATTTGTTCCTGTAACAGTTCCTTCTGATTGTTTTGTTCGTTGACATAGTTGAACTGGGCAAAGTTCCGCTCTTCCACTAAATTAGAAAGAAAAAAATAAAGCATATATGAAAGAAAGAGTGTTAATAGCAGGCTGTGGCTCATTTTACCCTGCTTCAAGCTGCTGGGAGTCGTAACGGTTGAGAATAATCTGGCCAGTTCAGGATCACCCCAAGCCCTAATATTTCCAGACCAAAATCAGATCCCTGGGGATGAACCCTTTGTAATGTGATGGGTAGAACATTTTATCTCTCTTAATGTGCTTCTCGCTAAAAAGTGGATGTGACACAACTGAGAGAAAAGAAGGATGCTAACTAAGAAATTATGCAGACCTCTTGGATAATCTTCACAAGTTGCATCAATAAAAGAATTAAACTTTCAAACTGTAACAAGCTGTTGTTCTCCTTGTTGAGTTGGAGATCAGCACACAGCCCCTTCCTATTGTCTGAAGAATTTGCAGCACTGTCTCCCACTTTTTGGTGGGAACTAAAACTAAATACGCAGGGACAGGTTATTATCTCCCTGAAGAAAAAGACTACAATCTAGGCCAGTGGTACTCAACCTTCCTAATGCCCCTTAATATAGTTCCTCATGTTGTGGTGACCCTCAAACATAAAATTATTTTTGTTGCTACTTCATAACTGTAATTTTGCTACTGTTAGGAATCGGAATGTAAATATCTGATATGCAAAATGTATTTTCATTCATTGGACCAAATTTGGCACAAATACCCAATACGCCCAAATTTGAATACTGGTGGAGTTGGGGGGGGGGGGGACTGGTTTTGTCATTTGGGAGTTGTAGTTGCTGGGATTTATAGTTCACTTACAATCAAAGAGCATTCTGAACTCCACCAGTGATTGAATTGAACCAAACTTGGCACACAGAACTCCCATGACCAACAGAAAATACTAGAAGGGTCTGGTGGGCACTGACCTTGAGTTTGGGAGTTGTAGTTCATCTACATCCAGAAAGCACTGTGGGCTCAAACAATGATGGATCCAGACTAAACTTGGCACGGATACTCAATATGCCCAAATGTTAACACTGGTGGAGTTTGTGAAAAATAGACCTTGACATCTGGGAGTTGTGGTTCCTGGGATTTATAGTTCGCCGACAATCAAAGAGCATTCTGAATCCCACTAACAATAGAATTGGGCCAAACATCCAACACAGAATCCCCATGACCAACAGAAAATGCTGTGTTTTCTGATGGTGTTTGACGACCCTTCTGGCACCCCCTTGCAACCCCCCCTCCCCCCAGGTCCTGACCCCAGGTTGATAAACACTGATCTAGGCTCCAATTCAGCAAATAATATTGATAATAATAATACTCTATTTATATTCTGCCATCTCTCCCCAACCATCCATATGTTCTGGAGCTGGAAGGCTGAATGGAAGACTAGTATTGTTCATCTATTGGGGCACAAAACTTTTCCTCAAAAAAGTGGACCCAGGTGGTCAACAATTTTCTTCAGCAGCAATGAGAACAGAAGGCCACAGGCTGACCTCGACCTAACTTCACACACACTTTGGCCTTTTCTGCAAAACGGTGCTGCCCACTTTTGTTTCCAGTACTGCCAACTGCCAGAATGTAGGCCTCGAGAGATCTAAACTGGAGTCATCTAGACCACTGCTTCTTAAACTGTGGATATGACCCTTTCAGAACTCCCCTTTTTCATGGGGTCCTAAAAAAAATTCTGAACACCATGTGGTGGCTGTTTTAGACATCTACACATATCTGTTGTGCACTGCGCTCTATAGAAGATGTTTCAGCTGCACTGCATAAAAAGAAAGCTCAGCCTGTTTAGCAGGCCTTGTTATCAGCCATTTTTTGTTATGATACTTATTTCATATAGCTATATATCTGGGGTCATAAAATTTTATCAGGTGAAAAGGGGTTCTAAGCCCTGATCTAGAGTTAGAACAGACATGGGAAAATTTTGGCCCTCCAAGTGTTTTGGACTTCCACAATTCCTAACAGCCTGCTGGCTGTTAGGAATTGTGGGAGCTGGAGTCCAAAAACAGCTGGAGGGCCAATGTTTGGCCATGCCTGAGTTAGAATCTAAAAATAACTTGTTGCAAATAACACATTACTTGTAACAAGCTCTTTTCCCCATAAAGCTGGTGGAGCTATATTACATCCTACTGTTACTTAACAAAGGATAGCACTGTTCTTTTGAGGGCATAATGGAACCCCTAAAGTTTGTTGCAGTTAAAAATCGTGGCTTAAATGATGGAGGAAGAATGGAACATGGTTCACGTTCTCTGCTTTATGTGGCTATTTAGAAGATTATGAGGTGCACAAGGAGCAAATTGTATTAAATTCCATGCCATGAACTAATGGTAACAGTCAGATGCTTTTTCAAAAGAAACTAAAAATAACCATTCCAAATATATTTGTGAGATGACTTATAAAAAAGCATAAAGGGAATCAAGTGATTCCAGGGTGGAGTGGCACTGGAACTGGAACTAATTACTTTAAAAGTAACTGTGTAGACAGAAAAAAAAATCCACTCCCTCCGACACGTTGGCACTCTACTGTCACGCAGATCACCTTGAATGTATCTGTCCAACGCAGCCTTTAGGTCTGTTGTTCCAGTTACTTCCAGAATTTTATTCACGACATCATTATAAGATTTAAGCTCCTCCTCATCCGGGTCCTGTTTGCGCTTTTGCTCTGATGGGAGAGAACAAAAGCATTTAGTTGCCCATTTCTTGTCTTAGCTCCAAATGCTACTCTCAGCTATACAACAACAACATTTTATTATGGTCCAGAGACCCTTATTGCACCATAGGTGTACAAGTATGCAGGTAATGAGATTTTATTTCCATGTCAGAAGCAACTTGAGAAACTGCAAGTCACTGCTGGTGTGAGAGAATTGGCCACCCGCAAGGACATCACCCAAGGGACACCTGGATGTTTTGATGTTTTACCATCCCCTGTCGCACAGTCGCCACCGAGCTGCTGACAGAGAGGTGGATCAAAGGAACTGAAGCAGTGGCCCCGCCCACTGGCTACTTATACTCACTAGGGGAGAATGGGTGGGGCTAACCACCAGAAAAGTTTTCAAATCTTTCTAGAAGGTTCTGAAGCTGTTTGCTCAGGTGCACAAACTACGATATGTGCAATTCACAGTTGACCACGATGGGAAACAAAAGTTTGTCCACGCCTGTTCTAGAAGATGGATTCTGAACTAATTGAAGTTTCCAGGTCACCTTCAAGGGCAAGTCCACATACAAGACAAATCCCAAGTAGAATGCCAGCAGGCTTTGGATTGCAGTAGCCAAGAAATCAACATTCACGTATAGCTGCAGTTGGCCATTGAAGGAAATAAAACAGCACTCCTAGTACATTAGCAAATAGAAATTATTAATCCCTGCTAGCTAATTAACACAATAGTGTACATAATATGCATAATCTCTAAAAACATAAGCGTTCCTCTTCTTTCAGGAACAATTTTTCACCTGTATGCAAATCCAACACAATAGGCTTATCAACGCCCACGATACTTCATTTCTGAACTACTATGTTCCACTAAGACAGTAGCTCTCAACATGTGGGTCCCCTGGTGTTTTGGCCTACAACTCCCAGAAATCCAAGCCAGTTTACCAGCTGTTAGGCCAAAACATCTGGGGCCCCACAGGTTGAGAAACACTGCACTAAGAGAAGCCAACTGTCTTGGCTCAAATCTGCTCCATGAGGTAAACCATAATCCTCCCCAAAGGCAGAGCAACAGTGACTTCAAACTGCACTTCAAGACATACTCACCTTTCTTCTTCTTAGCTAGCATTGCCTCTTCAGTGATAGCCCTCTCTTGAAGCTTAACAGCAATGAATTCAGACACACGGCGGTCATTCTCCTGGAGGCGGAGCAACTCTTTCATTTCTATTTCGTATTGCCGGCGATCTCTCTCAGCCTTTTCCTTCAGCTGTGTTAAACGAGCCTGTGCTTCATCCCTATTATTTATCCCCACAGGGCAAGAGATTCAGAGATATCGGGGGTGGGGGGAGAGAAGGGGAGAGAAAACAGAAATGGGAATCTGAATGTCTTTTCTCCATGCTCTGACTTATGTCATTCTCATATCCCACCAGTAATCTAGGGTAGTTATGGCCCCCAAGTCCTTGGCTCAAATTTCCACCAAGAACTGGAGGAGGAGATAGGCCAGAATTTCTCAATCTGGGGGTCGGGACCCCTGGGGGGTCATGAGGGGATATCAGAGGGGTTACCAAAGACCATCAGAAAACACAGCATTTTCTGTTGGTCATAGGGGTTCTGTGTGGGAAGTCTGTCCCAATTCTATTGTTGGTGAGGTTCAGAATGCTCTTTGATTGTAGGTGAACTATAAATCCCAGCAACTACAACTCCCAAATGTCAAGGTCTCCACCGGTGTCCATATTTGGGCATACTGAGGATTCGTGCCAAGTTTAGTCCAGATCCATCATTGTTTGAGTCCACAGTACTCTCTGGATGTAGGTGAAATAAATCTCCCAAACTCAAGGTCAATGCCCACCAAACCCTTCCAGTATTTTCTTTGGTCATGAGAGTTCTGTGTGCCAAGTTTGGTTCAGTTCCATCATTGGTGGAGTTCAGAATGCTCTCTTATTGTAGGTTAACTATAAATCCCAGCAACTACAACTCCCAAATGGCAAAATCATTCCCTCCCCCCAGCCCGACCAGTATTCCAATTTGGGCGTATCGGGTATTTGTGCCAAATTTGTTCCAGTGAATGAAAATACATCCTGCATATCAGATATTTACATTATGATTCATAACAGTTTCAAAATTACAGTTATGAAATAGCAACAAAAATGTTATGGTTGGGGGTCACCACAACATGAAGAACTGTATTAAAGGGTCATGACATTAAAAAAGTTGAGAAACATTGTCATTCCACATATTCCATATCCATCTATTGTACTACAATTATTCTCCAAAGGCTTGACCCCAAAACCACATTTTCACCTTTTTTCTGAAGGCCAGCAGGGAGGGGGCTGATCTGATATCATTGAGGAGGGAGTTCCACAGCCGAGGGTCCACCACTGAGAAGGCCCTATCTCTCGTCTCCACCAGTCTCACCTGCAAACGAGGTGGGACTGAGAGCAGGGCCTTCCCAGTTGATCTTAATCTCCAAGATAGTTCATGGGGGAGATACATTCGGACAGGTATGCTGGGCCGGAACCATTTAAGGCTTTATAGGCTAAAGCCAGCGCTTTGAATTGCGCTCGGTAGCAGACTGGCAGCCAATGGAGTTGACACAACAGGGGGGTTGTATGCTACCTGTACGCCACTCCGGTGAGCAATCTGGCTGCTGCTCATTTACTCCCTAGCATGAAAAGGGTTTCAAGCACCTACACTGCAAAGTGCTACAACTCAAAATCTTGGGGAGCTGGTGCTAGAGATCCAGTTGGGCAATACTACATTCTATGGATTGATGGACCTGGTTCAATATAGATGGAAACCCATACAGGAAAAGAGCATAGCTCAATAGTAGAACCTATGTGTTGTTTCTAGAAGGTTGTGGATGCGATACTACTTTCTACTTCTAGCTGAAAGGTTGTTGAGAAACAAGGCAAGGAAACTGCCTGAACCACTTGTGGATGATGGTGATATTTATTTATATTCTGCCTCTTTTCTTGACAATGCTATGCAAGATGGATGCTCTAACTCCATCCTAGAGGCTTTCACATGTTCAAAGCCAAATCCTTGCTCGAGGCTTTTTATTCTTCAAAGCAGCTGGCCACAGTTCCCTATTTATGAAACCAAGTCTCCAGAGAACTTCACAGTCAAATGAGAGCCCAGTCTAAAGAACTCAGGAATCCAATTTCCTAGCTCCCAATTCTGACCTATTATCCATCTCATCAAATGATGCAGGTACTCTCTGATTTGCAGTGTGGAGAAAGGACAATCAAGATGCAATCAGGCAAAACTTTAGCAACCTGAGAATATTTAAAGTGCTTTTCTTATTTTTGCAGAGAAAAGCTTGAGAGTCCATTAGCGCTGCTTATAAAACTCTGAAACCAGGGGAAACATTATGATTTGAGTAATCAGGCTGCCCTGAAAAGCTTCAGTTCTCTGGTCAGTTCCTTGCCACAAACAACAATGCCAAATTGGGCAGTTTGCAAATATTTAGCAGAGGGAACCAAGTTCCACTTTTCCTTACACAAAATTTTCACAGCACTTGCCTTTGATATCAGAAACCAGTTGGCTTAAGGCTACATGTTAGGAGGAGGTGTGTGATTAATCCTTATAAAGCTATTCCCATGGATTAAATGGGGGATGGCCACGAGGCAATTAAGAAGCTATCAAGGACTTGGTGGAGTTATATAATGCCTGGGGTTTGAACAGTACAGGGCAGCATCCAAGTGTGAGGTCAATTATTCCCCACTGCATGAGTTCCCTTTTCTCCCACCTTGCTTCGTAGGCGGCCGCGGATGTGCTGACCATGGTTGCCACGGCTTTACGAGCCTCAAGCATCTCCTAAGAAATGAAAGAAAAGAGAAAGAAAGCTTTAGATTTAGCCCAACTCAGTTACACCAGCCAGAGGACCATGCTTATTTATGAAGATCCATTCACTTTCTGTAGGCCAACTGCAACCCATCCTTTCTTTCCGAATTGTCATCAATCACGCCAGCAATATCCATTCATATATTTTCCAAGTACCGTACTAAACTGGCTATGCAAACAACGTGTACAATTCTTCTTCGTGCTTTTTAACTCAGCCAGCCAAGACTAAACCTAACATGTCTTTGTGATGGGTTGTTGTAGGTTTTTTCGGGCTATATGGCCATATAGCCCGAAAAAACCTAGAACAACCCAGTGACTCCGGCCATGAAAGCCTTCCACAATACATTGTCTTTGTGATGTTTGTCATCACACAAAAAATTGCAGACTATTCTTCAAGTTGTTTGCAGTGAAGCAAACAGGCCATGTTTTGGAAAAGTGTGGTCAATCAGGAGCAGAGCATGAATTAAAGCATTAAAGTTTAATTCATACTGTAAATAATCAACAAAAATGCAGATTGCCAAATATGGGATCTTGAAGAGCCCTTGAAATCTAGATAAAGGCATATGCTTTTGTTATTTATTTATTTATATTTATCATATCAGAAGCGAACCGAGGGTACAGTTTGATGTATTTTAAAAAGCACAAAGTTTAAAATACTTGACATTATACTAAATGTCCTTTGACCAGTAACTGGCCACTTAGGGTGCTTCTGGTGTTGCTATAAGAAGGCCCTCCATTGTGCATGTGACAGGGCTCAGACTGCACTGTAACTGGTGGTCTGTGGTTTGCTCTTCTCCACCACACTCACATGTCGTGCACTTTGTAGCCCCATTTCTTAAGGTTGGCTCTGCATCTCGTGGTGCCAGAACACAACCCTATTCAGCGTCTTCCAGGTTGCCCAATCTTCTGTGTGCCAAGAAGGGAGTTTCTCATCCGGGAGGGGGCTGGATTTTAACCTGCCACTTTTGGATTCTCACTTGTTGAGTTGTTCCTGCAAGTATCTCTCTTGATCTTAGGAAGCTGTTTCTTGATTTAAGGTGTTGGCATGCTGGTTGATATCCGAACAGAGGGTTGGCTGGAGATGTCACTACCTTGGTCCTTTCATTATTGGCTGCTACTTCCCGGCGGATGTCAGGTGGTGCAATACCAGCTAAACTGTAATTTCTCCAGTGGTGTGGAGTGTAGACATCCTGTAATAATGTGGTATGTCTCATTAAGAGTCACATCCACTGTTTTAATTTGGTGTGATATATTCTACACTGGGCATGCGTATTCAGCAGCAGAGTAGCAAAGTGCAAAGGCAGATGTCTTCACTGTAACTGGTTGTGATCCCCAGGTTGTGCCATTCAGCTTTCACATGATATTATTTCTGGCACCCATTTTTTGCTTGATATTCAAGCAGTGCTTCTTATAAGTCAGAGCATGGTCCAGCGTAACTCCCAGGTATTTTGGTGTGCTGCAATACTCCAGTGGAATTGCTTCCCAGGTAATCCTCAGAGCTCGAGATGCTTATCTGTTCTTAAAATGAAAAGCACATGTCTGCATTGTAGATGGTGCCAGAGCGCAGTCTGTTTAGCGCCTTCCAAGTTGCTCAAGTCTTCTGTGTGCCCAGAAGGAAGTCTCTCATTAGGTATCAGCCATGGCTTGAGGCTCCACTTTTTTAGCCTGCCACTTTTGAACTCTCACTTGCTGAGATGTTCCTGCGAGTATCTCTGTAAATATTAGAAAACTATTTCTTAAGGCATTGGCGTGCTGGCTGATATCCGAACTGGGGATGGGCCGGAGATGTCACTGCCTTGGTCTTTTCAAGTCAGTAACATCTCCGGAATGAAATAATAAGCTTTTGTAAACTTCATGTACTTCCTCAGATGCAAAGAGTGAACAAAGAATGGATCTTTATGAGCAGACTGTATAAATAGCCATACTTGTGACTATGGTAATGAAGTGACAAATTTAGTTTTAAAGAGGGGTGGTCATTGAAAAACAAAGACAGAATGAAAGTTGCTGCCTAAGGCCAAGATGCTGGAATATAGAATATAGTATAATGGAATACATACTGGAATATAGTATAATGGTGGCTGGAAACCAGAAAGAAGGTGTGATAAACCGACAAAGAGAGACCCCATAATTTCCTCCGCCATTCATATGGCTATCAATGCAGGCTTTAGGCATGCTTTAGGCACCATCTTTCCTCTTTAACTTCAACCGAATTTGTCACCTCATGACTATACCCACAAGTTTTGCATTTTTATGCCTACTCATCAAGATCTGTTCCAAGGAACTAGTTTTCTCCATGCATTTGAGGAACTAAATGAACATCTATCTCTCACTTTAGCCCCCACAGTCCTACTGCTATCTGAACACAGCTATGTTTTTGAATTCTAACTGATGTGGGTTGACCTGGGATCTTGACAGGTTTTCACATTTCAAGTCCTCTTTGATTTTCTCATCCAGGCAAACTTTTTATTTGAAAATCTTGTATTGAGTGACTTAATGTAGTGTATTTTCTGGCTTCCTGGAAATTTTAGTTTATTGCAAGGTTTAAACGTTCCTCATACATACACTAGCATTTATGGGTACATACCCAAAACTATTCCACAACTCCCAAACAGCCAGAACCAGAAAACACATGTTCATGCAAGACGGTACATTTATTTCTGAATAGCTGTCAGCTCTCCCTTTCTAGAGCACAAAACAAAATATTACGATTGCCTTGAGGGAAAGCCATACATGGCAGATAGCCGGAGCTCAAAAACACTCTGTATTTTTTCTCAGAAAGTAATGCTGAAAAATGTCTACTTCGGTGTTCTGAATCTGTGTGATTCAGAATGTTGTGTTTTGTTTCGTTATATTGTTTTTGTTATTATTTTGTTGATATGCATGTTCATGCGTTACATTTTAACTGACCCAAGTCCCTTTAGGGAGATGGAGGGGGGTATAAAAATAAAGTTGTTGTTGTTGTTGTTGTTGTTGTTATTATTATTATTATTCTTTCTGTAAGAAAATCTGACTGTGGTGAAATAAAGTATCTGGTCTCCTTGGGTAAGGGTTAATAAATGCAATTGAATCAGGTTGATTGGGAGGAGGAGAAGGCCTTCTGAACTAGCTTTCAGGAGCACTATAAAGTTCTGTCCCAGAATAATAATAATAATAATAATAATAATAATAATAATAACAACAACAACAACAACAACAACAACAACAACAGCAACTTTATTTTTTTATCCCACCACCATCTCCCCAAAGGGACATGGGGCAGCCTACATGGTGATTTGGTTTCAAGTGCCTTTTTCAGCTAATAACTGGCCTTGATTTTTATAGTTCCACCTTGAACCACCAATCACTCCATTCCATTCTGTGCTGGAGTTCTCACCCAGCAACCTGATCGCAGAATTCTGTAACAGAACCTTTTACCCCAGTGATTCTCAACCTGTGGGTCCCTCAGAAATCCTATCAGATGGAAAACTGGCTGGGATTTCTGGGAGCTGTAGGCCAAAACAACTTGGGATTCACAGGTTGAGAACCACTGTATTGCCCCATTATTAGCATTTTGACTCAAGTTTCCTTCAGAAACTGTCAGACAGGTTTATCGTGCACTCTCTCTCCCATATTTTGCTTAACATGACCCTACCGTCTCTAGCTGCTTGTGTTGCTGTTGAAAGCGTTTGTGGTCAATCTGGAGAGTTTCTATATCATCACGTAACTGGGAATTCAAGACCAGCCGAGAACTGAAATCTGTAGAGACCTGAAAGTGCAAAGTGGAACAGGAGGAAAAAGGTGGAACAACCAAGGTGAGTCCTGATTTTCAGCACACCATCACACACACACACACACACACACGTTTTTACCTTGTATAGCTGGTTCTTTGCTGTCTGTGTCCTCTTCTGCAATTGCATTTTCTGTTGCCGGACCTGTCTCGCTCTCGCTCTGCCTATCGACTGCTTTTGGTCATCCAAACGTTTTTTCCAGGCTTGGATCTGCCAGTGATCAGGCAAAAAAAGAAATAAAAATAAAAGAGAAAAACCAGATAAAGAGAGCTAGTTTCATACTCAGAAAGGAAGAGGAAAATATTGATTCTCAGAAGTATCACATTAGAGTTTTACCTGCCAGCTTTCACTCCCTGCATATTAACAATAAGTCGTTTAAAAAAAAACAAGCAAACAGTAGATCACACTGTCCTCCCTGTTTTTCATTAGCTTCCAGTTTCCCTTTATCTGGAGACAGTGGCAGACTGATCAGAGTGTCAGCTTGTCAGATGGCAAGTGGGCCTCCTTAAACATGTTTAAGTGGGGTCCCTTGAACATTAGAGAAGATGTTAAAATGTGAACTATCTTTTAGTATCTCTAATATCTTCTGGCAAGGCTCTCCTCTCGCTCCCACATCTGTCACAAGTGTGGTTGGTTGGGATGAGAGAAAGGGCCTTCTCGGTGATGGCCTCCCGGCTCTGGAACTCTCTCCCCAGGGATATTTTAACTATATTAATAGGTTGTTGTAGGTTTTTTCAGGCTATATGGCCATGTTCTAGAGGCATTTCTCCGGACGTTTCGCCTGCATCTATGGCAAGCATCCTCAGAGGTAGTGAGGTCTGTTGGAACTAGGACAAAGGTTTATATATCTGTGGAATGACCAGGGTGAGACAAAGGACTCTTGTCTTCTGGAGCTAGGTGTGAATGTTTCAACTGACCACCTTGATTAGCATTTGATTGCCTGGCAATGCCTGGAGCAATCTTTTGTTGAGAGGTGATTAGATGTCCCTGTTTGTTTCCTCTCTGTTGTTGTGCTGTTCTAATTTTAGAGTTTTTTAATACTGGTAGCCAGATTTTGTTCATTTTCATGGTTTCCTCCTTTCTGTTGAAATTGTCCACATGTGGATTTCAATGGCTTCTCTGTGTAGCCTGACTTTCTGTTGTTGAGTGGTCCAGCATTTCTGTGTTCTCAAATAATATGCTGTGTCCAGGTTGGTTCATCAGGTGCTCTGCTATGGCTGACTTCTCTGGTTGAAATACTCTGCAGTGCCTTTCATGTTCCTTGATTCATGTTTGTGCGCTGTGTTTGGTGGTCCCTATGTAGACTTGTCCACAGCTGCATGGTATATGGTAGTCTCCTGCAGAGGTGAGAGGATCCCTCTTGTCCTTTGCTGTACGAAGCATTTGTTGGATTTTCTTGATGGGTCTGTAGATAGTTTGTATGTTGTGTTTCCTTATCAGTTTCCCTATACGGTCAGTGGTTCCCTTGATGTATGGCAAGAACACTTTTCCTTTGAGTGGATCTTTGTCTTTACTCTCATGGCTTGTTCTTGGTCTTGCAGCTCTTCTGATGTCTGATGTGGAGTATCCATTGGCCTGTAGAGCCCAGTTGAGGTGGTTCAGTTCATCTTGGAGTAGGTGGGGTTCGCACATTCTTTTTGGATGGTCTGCCAAGGTTTTAATGGTGCTTCTTTTTTGACTTGGGTGATGGTTGGATTTTTCACACCTAGCTCCAGCAGACAAGAGTCCTTTGTCTCATTCCACAGATATATAAACCCTTTTTCCTAGTTCCAACAGACCTCACTACCTCTGAGGATGCTTGCCATAGATGCAGGCGAAATGTCAGGAGAAATGCCTCTAGACCATGGCCATATAGCCTGAAAAAACCTACAACAACCCAGTGATTCCGGCCATGAAAGCCTTCGACAATATATTGATAGGGCTTGTCCCCATGTAAGCCACCTTGAGTCCCTTCAGGGAGATGGAGGCAGGATACAAAAATAAAGTTGTTGTTGTTATTATAGCTAGAAAACACAATAGAAGTTCTAATATTATTACTGCATGCAACTATTATTACTATTTGAATAATACTTTTAATTGTGCTTTTTTTCTTATGTGTTTTTAAAGCAATATTTACTTTTACATAATAATAATAATAATAATAATAATAATAATAGTAATAATGCATTTTATTTGTGCCCCTTTTGTCTCCTGGCAATCAATATTTCTATCTCCAATCTCCCATTGCCTGGAGACAGAAAAAAGTAAAAAGTGTGTGTGTGTTTGTATTGTTTCCTTAGTAGTTAATACTTAGGTGTTTGCATTATATCCCCACATTGTCCTTATATCTCTTGCTTGCTTCATATAGCATATGCTGTTTCTTCGTGCCCCCTTCTGTATCCTGCTCCCCATATGAATCTATCTGACTTTTGAGGTCTTTGTAGACAGAGTTTTTTATAACAACAACAACAACAACAACAACAAAAGCTGTATTCTTATACCCCGCCATCATCTCCTTGAAGAGACTCAGGGCGGCTTACATATGGCGGCTTACATATGGGACAAAATACCCTGTCCACAAGACATAAATACAAAACACTCCATTAAGGCAAAAACACAATTAAAATAAGAGCATAAAAAAAAATACAACAATCCAGATAAAAACACAATTAAATAAAACAACAAGAATATAAACATCAGCATTTAAACTCAATCAAAACAATGCTCAACGAAAACCAATAATCAGTAATACAATGGGTGTGACCAGGCTATAAAAAGGGCCGGGCTTAGGATAGTGCAAACATGATGAAGTTTCAATTCCAATAACATATGCAGGAATATATCACCTCACAATTTTACTAGCTCCACACTTCACTTTAAGAACCCCTCAGCATCTTCGTTTTTATCCCACCACACCTCTTTATCAAGTAGGGCTAACTGCTTCTTCTCTTCTGTGATTTGCTGTAGCGCCTCATCCCGCTGGCTCAACAAGGAACGGAGAGTGTCACATGTGGATTGATCCTGCCTCCGGTTGACACGGTTCTGAGCCACAACTAGCCTGCGTACCAGGTCTTCATTCTCCCTCCGCAGGCGCTTCACCTGGTCCCTGTCCAAGACAAGGGGGTCGGGGGTGGTTAGGGGTGGCAGGATGGCATGGTGAGAAACAGCTGCACAGGCACGTTTGGGAGCTTCATGGCATGAGTGATGGTGATGCTTGGCTGGGATTGGTGGCAGAGCCAGCTCAGAACTTTCTGGACACTGCTGGGGATTTAAGGTGGAAGAAACTATAAGGGTGCATCACTTAGACACACATATATCCATCAGTGTCTGGTGGGACCAACCCAATTATTTACTATGTGTTGCCGGGGGCAATATCAGTTGCCATATGCACTTCTGTTATGTCAATGTTTACAGCAGCTAGTGCTCAAATATCTCAAAGGCATCAGTTCCTATCTGATCTTGGAAACTGAACAGGTTCAGGCCTGGTGAGTATTTGGATGGAAAAATATACCAGTAGGCTAGAGGACGGCATGAGCAAAATTGCTTTCCCCTCGTGACCACCTGTGATTTGCACCTATGGTAATTCTGCAAGTACTCTTTGCCTAAGACAGAGTTTCTCAACCTGGGGGTCGGGACCCCTGCGGAGGTTGTGAGAGGGTGTAAGAGGGGTCACCAAAGACCATTGGAAAACACAGTATTTTCTGGTGGTCATGGAGGTTCTGTGTGGGAAAATTGAATTCTATTGGTGATGTGGTTCAGAATGATCTTTGATTGTATGTGAACTTTAAATCCCCACAACTACAACTCCCAAAAGTCAAGTCTATTTTCCCAAACTCAACCAGTGTTCACATTTGGGCATATTGAGGATTTGTGCTGAGTTTGGTCCAGATCCATCATTGTTTAAATCCACAGTGCTCTCTGGATGTAGGTGAACTACAATTCCAAAACTCAAGGTCAATGCCCACCAAACCCTTCCAGTATTTTCTGTTGGTCATGGGACTTCTGTGTGCCAAGTTTGGTTTAATTCAATCACTGGTGGAGTTCAGAATGCTCTTTGATTATAGGTGAACTATAAATCCCAGCAACTACAACTCCCATATGACAAAATCACCCCGCCTCCCCAAAACCCACCAGTATTCAAATTTGGGTGTATCGAATATTTGTGCCAAATTTGTTCCCTTGAATGAAAATACATCCTGCATATCAGATATTTACATTACGATTCATTACAGTAGCAAAATTACAGTTATGACGTAGCAACGAAAATAATTTTATGGTTGAAGGTCACCACAACATGCAGAACTGTATTAAAGGGTCACAGCATTAGGAAGGTTAAGAAGCACTGGCTTAAGAAAATATCTTTAAATTCAAGGAGTAGGCATAAGTCCACACATAACCAGAAAGCAGATACTACAACTACTATATAGGAGAAGGAATACAGAAGGGAAAGGGAATTAATGGTTTTCTGGTGTTCAGTTAATAGCTATCTAATTGCTGCGGGATGAACAATATCCAGGCTCTCCATAAAACAAGAACTGAAAATTTCAGAACAAGAGATGGGAGCCAGAGGACAGACACCAGATATCACCTCTGTGCCAAGACATATGACCAGGAAATACTCCCTACAATGGAATGCATTCCAGACCCATGGTGATGAAAACCTAGAGATAAGGACTAGGCTAACTGAAGCTACTTTCCCCCAATGTGAGATTTAGAGTTAGTTTGAAAGAGGGCTCAAGGAAAACAAGGCTATCAATAGCTACTAGACATGGTGACCATATTAACTACACTATCAAGGACATTATGCCTCTCAGTACCAATTACCAAGGGCCACAAATAGGAGGGTGCTTTCTATTCTGTTTCTAGTCTCACAAAGAGGGTGAGTAATCTATGATATACATGAAAGCTCTCCCAGGCTAGCCATGCCAAAGCTTGAGTCAGTAATGCTGCCCCAATCCTAACAACTCTGCTGAGGAAAAGGGCACGTAGTGAACACATTCCCTGTTTCTTAGCAGCAGCCAGAGAAGGGTGTAGCCTCAGCAAATACCCTGTCTTCTAAAATAAAATGCACGCCTGAAGGGTCTCCAAACAGTAACCAATACTATAAATATAAGACCCTATAATATAGAAATAGTACCTATATTATAGTATGGTACATGTAGCTTAGAATTAGAAACTTTTTTTTCAACCTCAACTTAAAAAGGACCTTATGTTGAAGGTTTCACAGCCCTCTGGATTTAATTAACAGCATCACTCATATGTACTGTAGTGCAACAATTTGATGTTCAAACACATTTTTGATTGTACATCTTATTACACGGTAGGCGCTCATTACGTATTCTTGAGTCTTCTTTCTGTCCTTTTTAATACTGCTTGCGAGTTGGCTTCTATGCAAACAGACTATTTGGACCTTTGATCTGCTCAAACACAGCTCTTTTATGCCCTTGTTTTACAGTTTTTGTAGTGTTTCCAGAACTTGTGAGACTATAGACAACACTGACAAAAAGGATAGCTGTACCATAACTATCAAAATAGTTACAGCTTTGTCAAGAACTTTGTCTACCTCCAGCATGACAAGGAAGACAACGCAAATTACAAGAATGACATTCCACTGTAAGGTAAAAGTAAAGGTTTCCCCTTGACATGAAGTCTAGTTGAGTCTGACTCTAGAGGTTGGTGCTCATCTCCATTTCTAAGCTGAAGAGTTGGTGTTGTCCACAGACGCCGCCTAGGTCATGTGGCCAGTATGACTGCATGGAATGCCGTTACCTTCCCGCCAGAGTGGTACCTATTAATCTAATCACATTTGCATGTTTTCGAACTGCTCGTTTGGCAGAAGCTGGGTCTAACAACAGGAGCTCACCCCGCTCCCTGGATTCAAACTGTCAGACTTTAAGCAAGTTCAGCACCTCAGGGGGTGCCTGTAAAAAGAATAAAAATATCCCTCCCACAAACAATATGTTTTTGGTAGGTTTTAAGGCACATTTCATGATGGTGAAGGATGTTGGGTAAATACATACATTTGTCGGCGCATGATCTCACGGGATTCCACAACATAGGCACGACGGTTGCTCTCTAAGATACGGACCTGGCGCTGAAGTTTAGCCAACTCAACTCCCGCTGGTGGAACACAAAACCAGACAAAATATTAATAGTTGCAGGAAATAGAGAAAAGAAAGATGGATTGGAAAATTTAGAATGGCAATTTTCTAGTTGGGATCTGTTTCTCTTATTGAAGGGATGGTGCATGAAATTATGCTGAAAACCCAGAACTTGGGAAACTTTATTTTTGGGACTACAACTCTCAGAAACCTGTGCATATTGTGGAAAAAGCTGTATGAAATTTCCTATCTGGAATAGCAACTGCAACAGCAAGCACTGTGGCTATTTATTTATCGTATCAGAAGCGAACCAAGGATACAATTGTAATGTATTTAAAAAACACAAAGTTTAAAAACTCAAGGTCCTTTGACCAGTAGCTGGCTGCTTGGTGTTGCTGTGAGAAGGTCCTCCATTGTGAATGTGACGGGGCTCAGACTCCATTGTAGTAGGTGGTTTGTGGTTTGCTCTTCTCCACACTTGCATGTCTTGGACTCCACTTTGTGGCCCCATTTCTTAAGGTTGGCTCTGCATCTCGTAGTGCCAGACGGCAGTCTGTTCAGCACCTTCCAAGTCACCCAGTCTTCTGTGTGCCCAGGAGGGAGTCTATCACTTTGTATCAGCCATGGATTGAGGTTCCAAGTTTCAGCTTGCTACTTTTGGACTCTTGTTTGCTGAGGTGTTCCTGCGAATATCTCTGTAGATCTGAGAAAACTATGTCTTGATTTAAGGCATTGGAGTGCACTGTGGCTAACAAACCAGGATATACATGAACTTTCATTCTATGTTTGGTAAAGAAATCTAATTTAATTGTCACCCATAGCACCCTTTTGCATAATTAATTCCAAGTGTCTTCTTTTTAAATTATGATTTCTTAGGAAAGAGACAATTTAAGAGAACCAAAGAGTTTTGGGAGACACCTCACGTTGCAAGGCGGTGTGTGAACAAAGCTTTCTTTTCTCCCATGGTAACTGCTGATGAAATTGGTTTTGCAGGATTTTGCAATTTTAGAAAAAAAATAAATTCTGGAAAACCTTCCAGAAGTGAATGCTAGGTGAATATAGACATCATGAGTAAAAACATTTCAAGGAGCTTAGAGAAAAGTAATCACTCAACTGATTCAAAATAACTCAGGTGGAAATCAATTTGAAATACAAGACTGGAGAAAAGTTCCACAGATTGTCAAAAATCATAGATTGGAAGGAACTACACGAGGCATTTAATCCAGGGGTTCTCAAAGTATGCTCTGTGGAGCCCTTGGGGATGCGCAAAGTATACTGAAGGACTCTGCACTTCCCTCTTCCTCCCCCCTCCTCTCCAAGCTTTCCCTCTTCTTTCCTGCTAACCCCCCTCCCTCCCTTGCTGTCAAAAGCCATTTTCCTTGCCTCCCTCACTGCCCAGATCCTTTCCCCCTCACCTTCCTTGCTTCCCAAACCCTATTTCCCTCCCACTGCTCAGGGGGTGCTTTCGGTTGTGCTTTTCCTGCGTGGTAATATGGGGTTGAACTGGCTGGCCCCTGGGATTGTGGTTGTTGTTGTTGTTGTTATTATTATTATTATTATTATTATTATTATTATTATTATTATTATTATAAACACAAAAAGATGAGTCCACAGCAGACAAGATCACTCTGCTGGCTGTTGTACTGGATCACACGTCGGACACTTCCCAAGTGTTTAGGACTGTGTGATATATCGGCGAATAATGCATGCAGATCCCAGTAAGATGGCCTTCTGCAGCTGGCAGATGGTAATTTTGTCAGCGCTGATTGTGTTTAAGACTTTAGGCACTGCACCCAGTGTGCCGATCACCACTGGCACCACCTTGACTAGCTTGTGCCAGAGTCTTTGCAGTTCGATCTTTAAATCCTCCTATCGTGTCAGCTTTTCCAGTTGTTTCTCTTGAATCCTGCTTTCACCTGGGATTGCAACATTGACAATCCATACTTTGTTTTTTAACACAATCATGAGGTCAGGAGTATTGTGCTCCAAAACTCTGTCAGTCTGAGAGTAGTTTGACATGTTCATTTTCTGTAACTTTTTCAGTCTTGTGATCCCACCAGTTCTTTGTCACAGGCAGATGGTATTTGTGGCACTAGTTCCAATGAATCATCTGAGCAACGGTATTATCCCTCTGATTGTAGTCTGTCTGCGCGATCTTCTTGCAGCAGCTGAGGATGTGATCTATCTTTTCTTTTTTTAAAATATTTTTATTAACCACAAAAGAAATATTATATACATAAAAAGAGGTGGAACAATATAGTGAAAGAAAAGAAGGAAATAAAGTTCTATAAGTCTTAACAAAAACTACTTCATCCTTTTCTTTAAGCAAGATTCTTTACAGCGATTCAACTTGCTCTTTTTTTCTAAAAAAAACCTAATAATTTTTATTGCATTTATATTCATTTATATTCAATCTCTATAATTCATATAATTACTTCTTCTCCTTTCCCCAGTTGTGCTACCCCTTGTGCTCCCCATCTCCGGAGTTATTTTCTTTATGTTCCCACCAGAACCTCATTTCTTCTGGTGAGGATTGGTTCCCATCTTCTTGCCTTAATGTTTCCTCAATAAATATTTTCTATATATTTTCAAAATCATTATCCTTCCTTAGGTCTTTTTTTAACCTTTAGAGTGATCTATCATTTCATCTGCTTCCTTGCAGAGTCTATATTATTATTACTATTACTATTATTATTATTATTACTACTACTACTACTACTGGATGGCCATCTGTTGGGGGTGCTTTGATTGTGCTTTTCCCACATGGCAGAAGGGGGTTGGACTAGATGGCCCCTGGGGTATTCCACTGAAATATTGTTAAGTTTATGTTAGTCAAAAAGTTTGCCTATGCCTGATAGAGATAGATAGATAGATAGATAGATAGATAGATAGATAGATAGATAGATAGACAGACTCTCTCTCTCTCACACACACACACACTATATATAATATAATATATAAACCGTTCTTGGGGCTCCACAATAAACTTTTGCTTCAAAAAGAGCTCCATGACTGAAAAGGTTTGAGAACCCCGATTTAATCGATCTCTGCAATACAGGATATACTGCCAAAGTACCCTTAATAGATAGTCATCCAGCCTCTGTTTAAAGGCCACCAAAGAAGGCCTGAACTCTCAACACAAATCAAAACAACTAAAGGCTATCATACATTGGACCTATGAGACAATATGGCTGATTAGAAAAAAATAATACAACATAAACCTTAAGGTAGTAGGAAAAAGGAAGCTCACATCACCAGTGGCAAGAAAGGCATGGCCCAAAGTCTGTAAGACCTTGATAGAACAGCAAGATGTCCTGGAGATTTCTCACTCATAGGGTGACCATAAGTCAAATGAATGAACAACAATCAATAGCTAAGGATGTGACAATGCCTACCTTGTGCCAGGACACTTTCTGAATTGTTAACCACATACTACAGAGCACAAGTGAGGGGGAATAGTCACAAGGTTCTTGCCTGGATGAACCCCTATTCTTTCCACCTGCCCTACTTCCATCTTTGCCTTACAGATGCCCGTCCTTAGTGACAAATACATTTTCATTTGGTTCCCTGACTACCATATTTGCTCACTCAAAGCAAGTGAATGACTCACTCCCTGGATCCTCATACAGCGATTGACTCATACCACATGTGTTCCCCGTCTGCTAGGCAGAATTTGGACAATTTGTACCTCAATGATGTTAATTTAGTCCCTGCTGTATTTCAGATTCACCGAAAATGACTGGTTCGCTCATAAACGCTCACCAAAGCATGTGGAAAATAGCCAAAGCATCCTGTTCTATTTTTTATGCCCCTATTATTTGAATACAAAGCCTTCGTTTCTTGACTTTCTGTTCTCTTCTAACAGCTGCTGCCCGTGGCAACATTCTAGCTTGACTGGACAAAATATTCCTCAATCCTTTCTTGGCAAACTGTGAAGAAGCTGGAAACTGTTTGATTTGGTTGTCAAAGAACCAAAGAATCACTAGTTATGTCTTATATGTTTGTGCAGTACAGCTTGCTACCTTCATTTCCCATCAAGGAAAATCAATATAAATTTGGTTTACTTACGGTATATAATTTAACTATAAACAATGAGTTACTAGCACAACCTCCACAGGAAGAATTTCTCATGTTACTGGCTGCATAGTTTTTCATGACAGTACTCTGGGATTTGTGTAACAAGACCACAGTCAATGCCTCCTTTCAAATGCCTCTATGAAACAGTCATGCTGGATAGTTGATTTTCCTTACTAGCCAATGGCGAAAGAATTTTTATAGCTGAATGAGACAGAGAAGTACACAGGAAGTTCTATGACCACAAAAAAAAAACAAAAAAAAAACGGTGTCCTACTCTCAGTGGAATATCCATGTAATCACAAAGCACAAAAATATGCAGTAATTCTAGGAAGCCTTCACCAAAACTATTTTTCAAAAATGCCACTGTCCTACGAAACAACAGAGACACTCTACTCCCATTTCCTCAACTTCGGGAAGGAGGCATGTTACAACAGAGGGGAGCAGAAGACATTTCCATCTTGTCTTTACTAATAATATAATATAGTATATTGTATATACATATAATATTTATAATATTATCATGTAATACAATATAATACTAGTAATAATAATGCAATATTATAATTATAATTATATATTTACATTACATGTAATATTACTAATAATATTTTAATATAATGGTATAGTGTAATATAGTAATATATAATACTGATATTGTTCTATGCTAATAATATAATATATTGTATAAAAAATATCTTGTAAGCCGCTCTGAGTCCCCTTCGGGGTGAGAAGGGCGGCATATAAATTCCGTTAACAAATAAATAAATAAAGTTTCATATGTGGAGCAAAGGAGAAGAACCTGACACATCGGGAGATTCATAAGTACATACCTCAATTCCAGCCCAGAACTACCACATTGAAGGAAACAAAAACAAAGTATATATCAGGCTCAAAATTACAACAGATCTTGACCAAATGAGACATCCTCTACAACAGCCAAAAATGCTCAGAAGCAATTCAAAGAACAAATACAAGCCATTCACTTCATGACAGGTCATGAAGTTATGAGTTGGAAACAGAATACAGTACTTGGATGGATCAGCCTTCCTCAGTCTGGTTCCCTTCAAGCATTTGAAACTACGCTTCCCTCACCTGTGAATTTTGGCTTATGCCGAGCGGGAGTAAAATTGAAAGAAACACAAGAGAAAGAGTTGATATAGGCCAGCCCAGTATTTATCAAACTTTGGCTTTCCAGGTGTTTTGGACTGCATTCATGCCATCTTTTTTCTGGCAGAAGAATGCATTTGTGATGACAAGGTTGTCTTCTCCACATTTGATAAGAATTAGGATGCCATACTGGTTGTTGTTTCCAACCCCACATTTTCCTACAGTCCGTGGCCACAGATCAAAGACTTGTACAACTGTTGCATTAAAATCCCCCAGAAGGATGATTTTGTCCTCCTAAGTATCTCCAATAGGATGGTGTCCAGCCGACCGTAATTTTTTTCCTTGATGTCTTTGTCAACATCTAGTGTTGGTGATAGTTGCCTGCATGTTTTTGGTAAGATTAATATGGAGGGTTGAGAGTCATTCATTAATGCCAATGGGTGCTTCGGACAGGTGCTTCACCAGGTCATTTCTGATAGCAAAGACGACTCTGTGTATTCTTCATTCTTGTTCAGGCAGTCCCTTCCAGAAGAAGGTGTAGTCTCCTTTTTCTTTCTTCAGCTGTCCTTCTCTTGCTCTCCAGGTCTCTTGAAGTGCTGCTATATTGATGTTAAAGCATCTCAGCTCGCTTGCAATAATAGCAGTCCTGCGTTCAGGGCGTTCGTTGTTTGTGTTATCCAACAATGTCTGTACATTCCATGTTCCAAAATTCTTTCTTTTCTTTTTCTTTTTGGTCACAAGATGGTGACCCCTCTGGACATGGCAGTCCAGTCAGGGATAAAAGCAGCAGACTATGTTTAGGGCACCTTTTCTAGCCCTTCCCCATATGTAGTATGCAGAGTGGATCCTAAACAGGGCTGCTCTATCCTGGACACAGCAGTTGAACTACTCAACTGCTTCGGACTTCGAAGCAGAATGATTGAATCCACATCCACCGCCCATGTGCCAGTCTGTCACTAGAGGCTTCCAGTTTTCACAGTCTTGCCCCCATCACCACTCACTGATCGCCATGGGACTTTTGTTGGATTTTTTTTCCTTGGAAGATGGCTGTGTGTGAATTTGATTTATATGTGGAGATCAGTGCACAAATCAACACACAGTCTTCACAGAATGAGATGCACATCCAGTGGCATGATTAACCTAACGATAGGTGGCTTCTCTTCTGTTGCGGCCTTCTTTCACCTTCTCAGCTGTTGTAACATGTACCATGTTATCCCCTGCTCCGCCGTTGAGGACTTCTGATTGTGTTTGGTCTGGTTCCTCCCCTGCTTCCCAGGGAAACCCTTCTGGGAGACATGACTCTGACGGCTTCACTCACAGGTTCATTGGAACCTGTGTTAGAATTAACACATATCAATTCAAACAGAGAACATGTGTCCTGTTTCCTGTTCTAACAAAAGAGAGTTTCAAATAGCCCAGGGAGATTAGACTGGCATCCACCCTGTCGATTTTTCGTAAAGACCTAAAAACGTGGATGTTCCACTGTACTTTTGATTAAACAGTTTCCCAGATAATTTTCACCCCCCAGCTATGACCCAAGATCTAACCCTGTATTTTACTACTGTTCCCCACCCATAGATATAGTGTTCTATTTTATATTGCCTTTCTACTCCTATTGTCATCTGGCTTTTGCACTTTATTCATCAGCCCTGTCCTTGCAACTGATTTGCACCAGCCCGCCCACCCGAGCTCAGTAATCGTGTACTATGTCAGACTATTGGTTGTTTGTTCGAAGGTTGCTTTTAAACTGTTTTATGATGTTGTTTTATGAATTTTACTGTGTTATATTTTAAAAGATGTTGTTCGGGCTTGTCCTCAGGTAAGCTGCCCCGAGTCCCCTCGGGGAGATGGTGGCGGGATACAAAAATAAAGTTGTTGTTGTTTTTGTTGTTGTTGTTGTTCTTAGCTTCCCAAACCCGTATTCTTTCTAGATGCAGATTCTAGGAACCCAAACCTCCCTGAGCAATATCCTCTTTCCCTCTCTAGAAAATTACCAAGCACGTCCACATCGCTGCTATCAGATCGGATGCTTGAGGCCGACCTAAAGGCTGGCCTGAAGGCTGGGCCAGAGGCTGGCCTGAAGACTGGCATCCTCCTTTTCCTCCTGCTAAGAGAAAAACAGAGAAGAGGGAAACAGAGTAGGTGAGATTCTATGAGTCACATTGTTAAAATAACTGCTTCGGACCAGCCAATTTGGTATAGTGAATAGAACACTCGGACTATAATTAGGAAAACCAAGTTCAGGGACATAACATTTCTCAGTGGAAGCTTAGGCCAGTTGCTTCTCTTTAGCCTACAGTGGTTGTGAGCATGAAAGGACAATGGGAGGGTAGAGGAAGTCTATATATTAAACCCACTACTGTGATTCTGTAAGGTCCTTGACAAAAAGATTTTAAACACAAGAAAACAACAATCTAGGGCACAATAATACTAAAAACTAAAAATGTATATAGAGGGTCCTATAAGGAGGAAGCCGATATAAATGAAGAGTCTATTATATTTTTATATGTATTATTTAGATAGTAGACTGTAAGCCCTTAAAGAAAATATATTATCAGATAAATGATTATGGAACATTAATAGATAGAAAGTATTGTACTATATGCAACAAAAACTTGCAAATGTATGCCTACTTAAATAAAATAATTTTTAAAAGAAGATTGCTGTTTGTCAACAACTTAAAAGGCAACATCTCCCCCACTACACATTACCAAATATTTCAATTTATTTACCATTATCAAATACTACCAAATGTTAAATGATTCCCCAAATGTGCTTATATTCCACTGAAAGTAAAACATTTTGCCAGCTGAACAGTTTTTATCATTATTCTACACATTCTGGTGTATATTAGAACCATTTTATTTGTTCTGTTAAGCATCACCTTCTCTTCCATAAAAAAAAAATCACAGCATGCATATAATGTCCATTGGAATTCAGGTCTGCAAATACAGACCATGAGGACCAAACCACTCCCCAATTTTCTGTGGTAGAAAAAACTGCCTCTAGGTCAGCGTTTCTCAACCTAGGTGTCAGGACCCCTGGGGGGATCACAACAGGGTGTCAGAGGGGTTGTCAAAGACCATCAGAAAACACAGTATTTTCTGATGGTTATGGACTTCTGTGTGGGAAATTTGGCCCAATATATCATTGGCAGGGTTCAGAATGAACTATAAATCCCAGTAGCTACAACTTCCAAATATCAAGGTCTATTTTCCCCAAACTCCACCAGTGTTCACATTTGGGCATATTGTGTATTTGTTCCAAGTTTGGCCCAGATCCATCATTGTTTGACTCCACAGTGCCTTCTGGATGTAGGTGAACTAAAACTTCAAAACTCAAGGTGAATGCCCGCCAAACCCTTCCAGTTTTCTGTTGGTCATAGGTGTTCTGTGTGTTAAGTTTGGTTCAATTCCATTGTTGGTGGAGTTCAGAAAGCTCTTTGATTGTAGGTGAACTATAAATCCCAGCAACTAAAACTCCCAAAGAACAAAATAACCCCCTCCCCCCCCCCCCAAAAAACCCCATCAGTATTCCAATTTGGACGTATTGGGTATTTGTGCCAAATTTGGTCCAGTGAATGAAAATACATCCTGCATATCAGATATTTACATTATGATTCATAACAGTAGCAAACTTACAGTTATGAAGTAGCAATGAAAATAATTTTAAGGTTGAGGGTCACCACAACATGAGGAACTGTATTAAGGGGTCGCGGCATTAGGCAGGTTGAGAAACACTGACATAGGGCATGCCCTACGGATGTGAGCTGAGCACATCAGCTGAGCAATATGGAATTTCAAAATAAAGTAGTGTACTCTATATCATTTCCAGCATTTCACTTTAATAGTCAATTTGCTATGTCATGGATTATCTGCAAGTCAACCCAAGTTTACTATTGAACTAAAACTGTTGCTAAATTAATGTTGTACCTGGTTCTACTATCTACCCAAAATGCTTAGCATCTAGAACCTAAACACATGCATTATTAAAAATTATTCATTGTATCCCATTCTTCCTCTAGGATCTGTGCCCTGTTGAAGTCTCTGAAGCACCAAAATATGATGATCCCACCCACAACTAAACAATAATGCATTTCCTAAACTTTTTCAGACTCCCACCCAACTCCTCCCATATCTTCTATATACATTTCCAACAGAGAACTCAACTGTACCCAAGCCTCCCATAAAACTGCATGCCTTTGAACCTACATCTGAAACCTTTTTGTGCAAATTTATTAAAAGTTCAGTTGTTCCAGCTTCTACAACCTGAATTAAATGACCAATATCCACTCCTAAAGCAGTTAAAAGGTACCTTAATCTGTACTGGAGAAACTCTTATGATAGATGACTGTGTTTAGGCAGGCTGTTTTTCGGTATGCACTGGTGAAAAACAGCCTCTTGGTGTCTCTTGCCAACATCAGCTGTTGCCTTTGTCAACTCAGTTGTTAGCAACTATCTCCAAGAAATTGGTCTCCACCAATCCTGATGAGAGAGGGAAAGGAAGGGAGGGTAGGAGCAGAGGGGAGAAAGAGCACAGGATGCACACAAGTGAATCCAGATGCAGCAGGATTCCTAGATCTGGGCCAGGAGCTGAAAAACAGACAAAATGTGTATTACTCCAAAGAAAGGAAGGTGGAGCCTATATTACAGTTCAAAGAAATATCTGTATCCAAAAGGATCTTGTAGCATCTTAGAGACTAACTGGATAAAATGAAGTTAGCAACCTAAGATTGCTCTAGACTGTGGAATTAATAGTTTTACACCATTTTAACAGCCATGGGATATGGGGATTTGTAGTTTGGTGAGAGACCAGCAGTCTTTGGCAGAGAAAGCTACAGACCTTCTAAAACAGGTATGGGCAAACTTGGGCCCTCCATGGGTTTTGAACTTCAACTCCCGCAATTCCCAACAGCCTCGGCCCCCTTCCTTTTCCCCTTCAGTTGCTTATTGGAGCTCACAATGGGTCTGAACAGAGTGGTCCTTATGGATTTTTGGGAGTCCCTAAAGCCTAGGATCAAAAGGGAGTACTTTTGATCCTCACAACTCTGAATCCCTTTCCCACCAATGCACACAACAGCTAACACTTCATGCACTTTCTATTATAACCATTTGGGACCTGCTGTTGTAATTGAAAGATTATTTCTCAATATCTTTAGAGCAGATGTTCTCAAATTGTGCTCCGTGGAGCCCATAGGGCTCTGTAGATGCCCCGTGGCTCTTCTGTTCCTCCCTGCATGTGAAGTCCATGTGGCCTGGAGAAGCCTCCACACAGCCTGGAGAGGCCTCTTCCATGGCTATGCGGCTTAGAGAGGCCTTTGTGCACCCTAGAGAGGCCTTTGTGTGGCTGCGAGAGGCCTCTACCGTGGCCCTGCAGACTGGAAAGGCATTAGCCATGGCTGCAAGAGGTCTTAACCATGGCCTGGAAAGTCCCCCATTGCCACTGCTGCCATGGCCTGCATGATCTCCCTTACATGGCAGATTGAGGCAGGACTTGATGGCCCCTAGGTTTCCTATTTTTATTATTCTTACTATTATTATTACAGAGGCTGGGTGGCCATCTATTGGGAGTGTTTTGATTGTGCTTGTGTTGCAGAATGGGGTAGGACTGGATGGCCCCTGTGGTTTCAGCTATATTATTATTATTATTATTATTACAGTCAAACTACTCTGTTGGGAGTAGTTTGACTGCTTTTACTGCATGGCAGAATGGGATGGGACTGGGTAGCTCGTGGGGTTGCTATTATTATTATTATTATTATTATTATTATTTATCATGAAGCAGAGGCTGGCCATCTGTTGGGGGTACTTTGATTGTGCTTTTGCTGCATAGCAGAAGCAGGTTGGACTGGATCGCCCATGGGGCCTTCCACGGAAAAACTGTTAAGTTTATGTTGGATAAAATCGTTCTTAATTTTAAATATTGTATTGTTCTTTCTTTTTTGCACTACAAACAAGATATGTGCAGTGTGCATAGGAATTTGTTCTTTTTTTCAGTTGGTTTACACAAACATTCTCCATCTATGCATTGTCAAAGGCTTTTATGGCTGGAATCACTGGGTTGCTGTGAGTTTTCCAGGCTGTATGGCATGTTCCAGAAGCATTCTCTCCTGACATTTTGCCTGCATCTAGATGCTTCTGGAACATGGCCATACAGCCCAGAAACCTCACAGTAACCCATTCTCCATCTGGCCCACCTGTCAAACTTTAAAATGCAATGTGGCCCCTGTGTCCAAAAGATTCTTGAGGCTCCATGAGAATCCAAAAGATTCTTGAGGCTTCCTTCCAAAAGGACTCCACAGCTTTAAAAGTTTGAGAACCCCTGCTTTAGAGAAATACTTGCAGCAGCGGTAAACCATATTTGTTGCTACGTTTTGTCATCTAAAATCATTATCCGTAGGTTGTGTTCTGCCTCCCCATTCCTGTCCCTCTGCTACAACAGCTGCTGCTGCTTCTTTAACAGTCTTTTCACGACCACCTTGTCTTCAGCTAACCTTTCTTCTGCTGCCAATATGACTTTTCCACATACAATATTCATTGCTTATTTCAGATGACTCTGCCGTGCCTTGTACAGACCCAAGAGCCACACTGATTTTATATTCTGTGTAGAGCGCATTTTGGGTCCCCATAACAACAGCCTGACAACATAGAAATTTAACATTTTCCATACCACCTGTTGCCAAAAGCATTTCACTTGCTGCATTTCTGTGCTCCAAAGGTTATTAGTTAAAAACACAAGAATACAGCAGCTCTACCTAGCATGCATTGTCAGAAGGACTAATAATGGTGCATCTACATTTTAGAATTAATGCAGTTTAAGCATCACTTTCAAGTCTATGGAATCCAGGCATTTGTACTTTAGTGAGGCACCAGCACTCTTTGGCAGAGAAGGCTAAAGACTTTGGAAACTATAACTCGCATGTTTCCACAGCACTGATACCAATAAAGTGGTGTCAAACTGCATTAATTCTACAGTATAGCTGCGCCCAGTCAATCCTCACTTGAACCCTAAATTTGCTCATGAATTATTGCTCCAACATTGCCAAACATTGAGGAAATAAAAATGCTGGGTACTAACCAAGTGGGAGTCATAAGAATTTGTGACATTGTTTTTAAAATCATGCTAAAATCCCATGGTGTTGAGAAGACATAGTTTTAAATGGGATTTTCATTTATGCTTCCAGTGATTGTAAGTCCCATATGTCTTGATTCACAGAGACCTTTGACTGCAAAAATGCTGATGTTTGGAGAAAGAGCTGCCACAGGGAGGTAACTACGCTCAAGGATGAATTCATCAGGGTAAAACTGGCTAGAGATAGTACTCCCTAATTTTCCCAGCTGCTTGAAGTTTGTGCTTGAAATAGGAAAGGAGATAAGACCGACTCATAAACACTTTCCAATTAAGTGCCCAGGGCCAGAGACATGAAAAGTGCCATTGTTAGCTACCACCTGTTTGCATTCTTGCTTGTTAGAATCATAAAGAGCCAATGAAAATCTGTATCAATCAACTTAGACTAACGGGATAATTTATTACTGCATTTCTCAAATTAGGGGTTGGGACCCCTGGGAAGGTCGCAAGGGGGTGTCAGAGGGGTCACCAAAGACCATCAGAAGATACAGTATTTTCTGTTGATCATGGGGGTCCTGTATGGAAAGTTTGGTCCAATTCTATCGTTGGTGGGGTTCAGAATGCTCTTTGATTGTAGATGAACTATAAATCCCAGCAATTACAACTCCTGTCAAGTCAATTTCCCCCAAACTTCACCAGTGTTCACATTTGGGCATATTGAGTATTTGTGCCAAGTTTGGTCCAGATCCCTCATTCTTTGAGTCCACAGTACTCTCTGGATGTAGGAGAAYTMCAATTCCAAAACTCAAGGTCAATGCCCACTAAACCCTTCCAGTATTTTCTGTTGGTCATGGGACCTCTGTGTGCCAAGTTTGATTTAATTCCATCGTTGGTGGCGTTCAGAATGCTCTTTGATTGTAGGTGAACTATAAATCCCAGCATCTACAACTCTCAAATGACAAGTTTTTACCATCCTYCTAAAGGACAGGAGGGAGGGGGCCGACCTCATCTCACCAGGAAGGGAGTTCCATAGCCAGGGGGCAATCACCGAGAAGGCCCTGTTTCTCATCCCCACCAATCGTGCCTGTGACAATGGTGGGACGGAAAGCAGGGCCTCCCCGGAGGATCTTAATTTCCGTGATGGTTCATAGGGGGAGATGCATTCGGACAGGTAATTTGGGCCGGGGCCGTTTAGGGCTTTATAGGCCAAAGCCAGCACTTTGAATTGTGCCGGTAGCAAACTGGCAGCCAGTGGAGCTGGTGTAACATGGTAGTTGTATGCTCCCTGTATGCCGGCCCCAGTTATTAACCTGGCTGCCTCTCATTGGACTATTTGAAGCCTTTGTCTTCAGCTCCAGCTCCCCATGCCGGGACATGAAAGAAGCCTCCCACAAAGATGGTAAAACATCAAACATCCGGGCATCCCCTGAGCAACGTCCTGGCAGACGGCCAATTATCTCACACCAGAAGCAACTTGCAGTTTCTCAAGTTGCTCTTGATACACACACACACAAAATCAGATCACTCATATGGCGTTTCTAGTCATATCAAGGGCTTAGGAACTTAAACTGTTCTTACTATGATCACCTTAATGGATATCCCATTTTCATTTCTTATTTACAGCTATTTGAAGCAGATACCCCCATCAGCCCACCTTGGTTGGGATTGAATGTTTACTTTTAAGCTTTTTTGTATTTATATTTGAATTATTGTATGTTTACTTTTAAGCTTTTTTATCGTATTTCTATTTGAATTAAGTCTAAGCTTTTTATTGTATTTATATTCAAATTATTATGTCATGCTTATTATAGTATGTTTGAATTGATATGTTAATTGTTTAAATTGATACGTTATGTGTATTATTATATGTGTAATGCGGCATCGTATGCCATGGATTGTAAGCCGCCCTGAGTCCCCCAATGAGGTGAGAAGGGCGGGGTATAAATCTATATAAATAAAAATGTAATGTTCGTTTGTGGTATTCACAGAACTCAACAACCAGTGGGCGAACTGACACCAAATTTGGACAGCATACACCTAACAACCCAATGTATGTCCGTCACTCAATTTTTTTTTATTTCATCATTTGGGAGTTGTAGTTCTTGGGATTTATAGTTCACCTACAATCAAAGAGCATTCTGAACTCCACCAAGGATGGAATTGAACCAAAGGACTCCCATGACCAACAGAAAACACTAGAAGGGTTTGGTAGGCTCTGACCTTGAGTTTGGGAGTTGTAGCATACCTACATCCAGAGAGCAGTGTGGACTCAAAGAATGGTGGATTTGGACCAAACTTAGCACGAATATTCCATATGCCCAACTAGGAACACAGATGGAGTTTGCAGGGGGAATAGACCTTGACATTTTGGAGTTGTAGTTACTGGGATTTATAGTTCACCTACAATCAAGGAGCATTCTGAAGCCCATGAATGATAGAATTGAGGCAAACTTCCCACACAGAACCCCTATGACCAATAGAAAATACTTAAGGCTATTCCAGTCCAACTCCCTTCACCAGGGCAAGAAAACGCAATCAAATATGTTTACCCACAAGCATAAAGAAATTACATATATTAGAAACCAACACTTTCTCATTACTTTATTGTCCAGATCACCAGACTGGGCCACATCAACGCGTGGCAGGGGACAGCTAGTGTAGAATAATAATAATAATAATAATAATAAAAGGTTTGCAAAGCTCCATGCAAATATGGGGCTCAACTACATTGCTAGAATGTATTGTCGAAGGCTTTCATGGCTGGAATCAATAGGTTCTTGTAGGGTTTTTCGGGCTATAGGGCCATGTTCTAGAGGCATTTCTCCTGACGTTTCGCCTGCATCTATGGCAAGCATCCTCAGAGTAGTGAGGTCTGTTGGAATTAGGACAATGGGTTTATATATCTGTGGAATGGCTGGGGTGGGGCAAAGAGCTCTTCTCTGCTGGAGCTAGGTGTGAATGTTTCAACTGACCACCTTCATTAGCATTTGAAGGCCTAGCTGAGCCTGGGAAAATCTTTTGTTGAGAGGTGTTAAGATGTGCCTGGTTGTTTCCTCTCTGCTGTTTTGCTGTTGTAATTTTAGAGTTTTTTAAATACTGGTAGCCAGATTTTGTTCATTTTCATGGTCTCTTCCTTTCTGTTGAAATTGTCCACATGTTTGTGGATTTCAATGGCTTCTCTGTGTAGTCTGACATGGTGGTTGCTGGAGTTGCTACAATTGGTTGCTATAGTTAGCAGCCAAGACCTTTTGAATGTATGCTTCTCTTGGAGGCTCTTCTGGAGTCTTGTGAAGTTATAATCAGAGCTATTACCAAATCCTATCAGCTTCCAACTATTCCCCTTGCACTCCCTTCAACTCTCCCCCATTAGATGGCCCTTTAGCCAAAATTCAAACCCCCAAAAGCCCTAAGCCACGCCCCTGCCTTTACCTCTAGACTTACCTTCCTACTGCGCATGTGCGAACCTAACGGCGCACCGCCTGTGGAACGGACATGCGCACTACGAGGCTCCCTAGTTGTAAGACGCGAGGGGGTTGCCATAGCAACGTTCCATCACCAAACCTCCGCGCATAACCATGTTTGTCTCTCGCCTGCTGGTTTCCATGGAAACCGTTTTCAAAACGGAAGCTGGGAAGAAAAGAGGAGGAGGGGGTTCATCATGGGGCGCCTGAGGAAGGAAAAGGGGAGGGAAAACCCACACATTGTTTATTATTAGTATTGTTATTATGCCATTTTCTTCTCTCAAATGAAACTCTCAACGACCCACAGCGTTAAAAACAGTACACATTACAGTATAACCCAGATAATTTTCCACATTATTTGATTTGAACTGGATTATATGAGTCTACACCAGGCCTGGACCCTGTAGGTGTTTTGGACTCCAACTCCCATCATTCCTAACAGCCTCAGGCCCCTTCCTTTTCCCCCTCAGCCAGGTGTTTTGGACTCCAACTCCCATCATTCCTAACAGACTCAGGCCCCTTCCTTTTCCCCCTCAGCCGCTTAAGTGGCTGAGGGGGAAAAGGAAAGGGCCTGAGGCTGTTAGGAATGATGGGAGTTGGAATCCAAAACACCTACAGGGCCCAAGTTTGCCCAGGCCTCTCTCCTGAGGAATCTGTATAATGACCAAGTAGCAACAGTAAGAACTGACCATGGAACAACAGACTGGTTCAAGGCCTACGGCAGGGTTGTATACTCTCACACAACCTATTCAACTCATACGCAGAACACATCATGCGATGTTCGGGGCTTGATGAATCCAAGGCTGGAGTAAAAATTGCTGGAAGAAACATTAACAACCTTAGATATGCAGATGATACCACTTTGATGGCTGAAAGCGATGAGGAGAGGAGGAGCCTTCAAATCAAGGTGAAAGAAGAAAGCGCTAAAGCTGGGTTGCAGTTAAACATAAAAAAACCCCAAAATTATGGCAACAAGACTGGTTGATAACTGGCAAATAGAGGGAGAAAACGTGGAAAACGTATTTCTAGGTGCGAAGATGACGGGGACTCAGGGCGGCTTACAGAGGCACAATTCGATGCTGGCATCAACGTAAACAATAAAATAAAACATGAATAACAGCAATTGAACAATTAAAACATCACATCAATAAAACCATTTTAACGCTCAGCGTTCAGCGTTCGCCATCTCATAGTCTGTAAATTCAATTCCACATCATCAATTCCTATCAATTCTAGTTGTCAATTGCCCTTGTCTCACTGCCAGATTGCCCGAACGCCTGGTCCCACAACCATGTTTTCAATTTCCTTCCGAAGGAGAGGAGGGATGTTGATGACCTCATTTCCCCAGGGAGTGAATTCCACAGGCGAGGAGCCACCACCGAGAAGGCCCTGCTCCTCGCCCCCACCAACATCACTTGTGATAGGGATGGGGTCGAGAGCAGGGCCTCCCCAAATGATCTCAAACTCTGAGGTGGGACATAGAGGGAGATGCGTTCGGTCAGATACGCTGGACCGGAGCCGTATAGGGTTTTGTAGGTCAAAACCAGCACTTCTTGGAAAGAGAGCAATGACCAATCTCGATACAATAGTGAAGAGTAGAGACATCACACGCAACGAAGATCCGCATAGTTAAAGCAATGGTATTCCCTATAGTAACCTTGGGGTGTGAGAGCTGGAGCACAGGGAAGAGTGGAAGGAAGATGTGACACAGCTAGATGAGTGTCAGCTGCATTAAGATCACTTCTGACCAAAAGGTCATAAGTTCGAAAACAGCCGGGTCAGAGTGAGCTTCCAACCAATTGTGTAGCTTGTTGTCGACCTTTGCAACCCGAAAGACAGTTGCATCTGTCAAGTAGGAAAATTAGGTACCACGTATGTGTGAGGAGGTTAATTTAACTAATTTACGAGGCCATAAAAAAGACTCCAGCAAAGCACTGCAAAAGCATAATAGGGTTGGGAGGACTATGTCTTCTTGGACTCCCTACGAATTCACGATCCCCAAACACTCTCTGCTTCATTTGGGAAAATGTTGCACTTGCAGAGCTCAGGCGGTGTTGTATTTTGGTGTCAATGTTGACTTTTGTGGAGAGGTGACTGCCAAGGTAGCATAAATGGTCAATATTTTCTAATGTTACACCATTAAGCTGTAATGAAGGATTGGCTGGTGACTACTGGAAGAGCACTTTGGTTTTATCAATGTTCAGTGAGAGGCCGAGCTTCTTGTATGCTTCTGCAAAGGTGTTTAGAGTGGCTTGTAGGTCTTCTTCTGAATGTGCACAGACTAGGTTATCGTTGGCATATTGGAGTTCTATGACTGATGTTGTTCTGCTTTTGGCTTTCAGTCTGCTGAGATTAAACAGCTTGTCATCTGTCCAATATTTATTTATTTATTTATTTACTATATTTCTATACTTCTATATTTCTATACCGCCATTCTCAGCCCGGGGACAACTCATGGCGGTTTACAGAACGGCACAATTCAATGCCCATAACAATATAAAAATAGATAATTTCCACACTGGTGGAAGGTTTCCCGTCAACAAGACGTATCATAGCGGTGATGATGGAAAATAAGGTTGGGGCAATAACATATATCTGTTTGACACTTGATTTCACCTTAAATGGGTCACTTTGGGAGCCATTGCTGTCCAAGATTGTTGCCATCATGACATCGTGGAGGAGCTGCAGGGTGATCTGGTCAAAGTCTTAAGGTGATAAAATTGATAATTATTGATTAAGGTGGAGGATCCCAACTTTGAATAGTTCCCTCTGTTTAACAAAAACCATTGCAGGTAGAAAAACAGCATATTGGGTAAGACTGAGCGAGAACATTGATCCCTAATATTCTAAGTGTATTTGTTTGTTTACTTGCAGGGGGAGATATTTGGTTGCTGCAGAGTAACATTTAAGACAGTACCACCTACTTACAGCCTGGAGCAGTTCATTTCTCTTTATGACTACAAGATTCCACCATTTTACCCTCCGTCTTGTTTTAACAAGGTAAATGGTGGGAATCCGCCTGGGACTATTTTTAATCGTGTGGTGTTATTTCCATTTATGTCCTCCAGCTTGTTATTATTTCTGGATAAATACTTCCATTGAAAAGCCAATTAATCCAACCACTCCCTCTTCTGTTTATTGTCTTGCCGGTCTTTTAATTCCCCGCACGTTTTATCCAATTCCATCTCACAAAATCATAGACATGATCACACTATTGTGCTTCATGTTAATTATTCTCAAATAGCTACTCTGCTCTAGTTTCTTAATCATAACTTGAGTGCCCATTAGGCAGAATGGTGGGAATGATCTTTTTAAAATGCCATGTTTTTAAAATGTCTGAAGGGATATGCAGGCAGCCCTAATTATATTTTTTATTATTTTATGCAAGATAACATGAGCATTCTCCTGAAAAGAAAGACATTAAATAAGGAAATAGAGGGGGGGAATTCATTATATCAAGGAGTAGTACTTTAAAGTCATGGCACTTCTGTAATGCTCTTCACAGTGGAAGGCTAGCTGCATATCTAGCCAATCGATGCCAATGCAGAAAATGTGTGGATTTTGCAACATTCATTTTACACACACTCCTAACTTCTGGTTTTCTTCTTCCTTTCAGACCAAGCACTTTAAGGCTAAATAAAGGCAATGACAGCAGCAGAAGATCACCAGATTGGTGCCCTGGGGGGTCTGTAAACCTCCTAATACAGTGGATCTAGCATTGTTCCAGGTGTAACTAAGTACTGTAGGCACCTGAATTCCCTCAATAATAAATCTGTATATAAATATATAGTATCTATAATTAAAGTCGGTCTATCTGTAACCCAACAGCTGTTGCTAGGTGAAGTGGCTCTCTGTGATGTATGCATACATTTACATGCCAGCTTCTGCCAGATGAAGATAATGCTAATGTATACCTGAAGAAGCTATATGCCATCTGGGAAAATGTGTGCCATTGTGTCACTACTGTTTATGGTAAGTGTCTTTCAGATTGAGGGTGAATTTTGATTCCAGAAGAGGTTTCTGGGGAGCACCTGAATTCCCTCAAATATAAATCAATCAATCTGTCTATCTATCTATGTCAAAGTCTGCCTGTCTGCCTAGCTGTACCACAACAGCTGTTGTTAGGTGAACAAGTGGCTGTTGCTAGGTGAAGTGGCTCTCTGTGGTGACATGTGTATTAGGGAAAGGAAGGAATAAAGGAAGTTGCCACAAAGAGAGGCGATTTGCCATGGAGACACTATGCCATGGAGCCTTCCACACAGCCATATAATCCAGAATATTGAGGCAGAAAATCCCACAAGATCTGCTTTGAACTTTGTTATCTGAGTCCACACTGCCATATATTCCAGTTCAAAGCAGAAAATGTGGGATTTTATTCAGCTGTGGGGAAGGTGCCTACGAGATAGACTCACAGAGAAAGGAGAAAAAGGAGGGGAGGAAAGAAATAAGTGGAATAAAAGAATGGAGAAGGGAGGGAGGGGGAAAGAAAGAAAAATGAAGAAAGGAAGGAGGAAGGGAAAGGAAAAAGAAGGGGGAGGTATATAGAAGGAAGGGAATGAAGGTGAGAAAGAAACAGGTGGGAAGGAAGGAAGAGAAATTAAAGGAGAAGGGGTATGAGAGACAGAAGGAAAGAGAGAGAGAGAGAATGAAAGCAGGGGGAAGCAGTCCCTCCTACACAAAAGCAACAAAGATGCCATCTAATCAACTCTAGCAAGTAACTAAAGTGGCAGACTGAGAAAGAGAGATGTGGCAGAACATCCTTGAGGTCATGTACATATCCTTTCAAATTCTGAAAAAAGGCTATTTTAAAATCAGAAGAAAGAGTGCTATATGGAGTTCACCTTGATGGTCCCAGCACGTCCCACTAGTCACAGTTGTGCAGATTTACAGGCTCAGGTTTCCTGCTTTTCCATCATATTCCTGGCTGGTCATTTGGTTCTCTCTGTCCTGGATAGGTCACAACAGCACTCCTATCTGCACCAACGTGTCGGATCTATCAGAGTTTGCATTG